TTTTGCTTTTGAAATACTAATTTATCAAAGAGCTATAAGTAGTGATGGGATAACTCGAGCGAAAATTCGCTCGAGTACTCGAGCGAATTCAGTGCAGTACTTCCTGTTTCACCGGAAATGACTACAATTTTTGATTTTCAAATGGCACCCTCGGTATTTTCTTTACTTTATTCGATAGAAAATGACATTCTAAATAGAATGACGTATCATATGTCAACTTTTGACATATTCGCTTAAAAACAAATTGTATTTTAAATTTCAATCTAGAGTGCCATGGCTGTGTTAAAAACACTAATTTTTAATCAAGGAACCTTTGAAAAAATATATTTGATCATCTAATATTTTTAGTGTCTTGCCCTGGTCGGTTAAAAGATGCCCAAATCGTATTTTTGATCATATCTCATTTTTTTCAAATGGAACGAGGGTGGCTCATTAGCATATTTCGAAAAAGATTTTTTTTACGAATAATTTGATACCTCACACTTGGTACTTCGAGTCAAATTGTCGTTCTGAACCCATGTTACAAATTCAAATTCAATTTCAAATATCTCATATGCAAAAATGTCAAAAGTTGGCATGTGATATATCATTCTATTCAGACCGTCATTTTCTACCGAATAAAGTAAAAAAATACCGAGGGTGCGATTTAAAAATCAAAAGTTGTAGTCATTTCCGGTGAAATCGGAAGTGACAGAAAACAATTGAATATGTCAATCAATCCTAATTTATGTCATATACTAACATACCAAATCTCGTTGTTTTATCTGAAAAAATAAAAAAGTTATAGGGGTGAGCCACATTTGAGACGCACCCGGTATATTTATCCGTTACGTATCTGAGGGACAAAATTTTACGACCTACATCGACAATGCTTCAAAATAAACTAAAGCAAGCGGTCAAGCGAATTGCTCGCCGCTTACTACTTACCGTTCATTACCGAAAGAATATGTGCCCTGCGCACGCAGCTTATTGCTTGGCGCTTGGCGTTAACGAGTACTTACAACATGCGACGGACAAAAAACCGTATTTTTAAATACGAGCGATATTTCGCTCGACTGATCACGCGGTTATTGCAATCGCTTGATACTCGAGTACTCGATTATTGAAATTAATCGGTTTTTCCCATCACTAGCTATAAGACATTAAATGATCACTTAAAAATAAGACTGTAAAAATAAAAAATGTAATTGTATAAATTCCTTTATTGGAAAATACATCATTATTGAAACAAATTTAGTTAAATGTCTTTTTTGAAGATACTTTTTGATTTCGGTTTTGTCTTTGACATTCCGATCGCCGAGACGTATCAGCAGTGTTTTTTCTTTTCTCTAGAAAAAATATTAGGTTTTAGAATGAACTAAATTATAATTAGCACTTTAGTGTGCAGAATAAAACACCAATGAAACTAGTAAGTACTAATTATTCTAAAGTAATATAAAATATAATAAAGTAGTATGTATAACGCAAACATGCGTAACGATAACATCTGGCCGCGGTGATTCCCCGCTTAATACGAGCCCAGTTTGTCGTACATTGTATCAGTAGCGTGCCAGACCCCATGACCACGCCTCTGCATATTATAAAATGCCTCTTAAATAAGTGTAGTAGATCTCTACAAAAAATACTTTCAATTTGCCAATTTCAAAATACATTGAAAATAGCCCAGTTGTTAAACTTCGAAAATTAAATAAAGAGAGAATAGCCGAAATAAACCGGCAATCAGCCAGTTGATGTCACTCAGATAAGAGAGTATAAACATGCATTACTAATATCCTTATCTCCAATGTATTATGTGGATAATATTTTTAGTACTCCATTACTGAAATTTCAAAACAACATTCAAGTGGATTTTTAAATAGTTTAAGATTTTTGTATGTATATATAATGGTTTTTAAGTTATTTTAAATGCAATTTATATTTTATATCAGTAATATTTAAAGGTGCGTTTATACTTGACCACGCACGAGCTGAGCGTACACGAACGGCATCCGTTCGTGCTCTCGGGTCCGATAGAAACTTATTTTTCGACGAATTAAGTCATCCATTTGAGCGCAAACATCAGAGTTGTGCTCGTGAACGTACGCACGCACGAACACAACAAATTGCCGGTGCAAACTGAACGTTCGCGAACACATAAAATCCCTTTGAGCACCGACCAAAAACCGACACCAGACGATTCGCGTTCGTGGCAGCTCGCGCACAGGCAGATTCAGAGTGAGAGTGCGCGCACAGCCGTTTACACTTGAGTATTCGCGAAGGATCAGTGCGTGCGTGCTAAAGTCTAAACGCACCTTAAAAAAACAGCATAACATAAGGTGGGTGGACCGTGGAAGGCCATGTTCCTTTGAAGGCCAACTATAAAAAGCTATGTGATTGTATTGTCATGTGATGACAAATTCCTTCCACTCACACTAAGTTCCATTAAACTCAAGCACACGCGGCGGCGAGTCGCTATTTTGTTAGTGTTACTTCGTAGACTTCGGAAAAGGTAAGTTTTTATGTAAATACCCTACTATCTTATTTTTTTTTATTGTTATTTTTTTGTATTTATCGGTAGTATTCCTATGAAAGTCGGTGGTTCCTTATAAGGCCAATCAAAAATTTGACGGTTGACCTCAAATGAACTATCTCTGAGCATATTTTAGTTGCGATCTGAGAGATTTCGGTTTTTGACAAAATCGACAGGGTTGTGCCGAGGATTTTTTTCGAAAAATTTTGGAAAATCGATTTTGCTTATTTCGTAATATGTTGTAGCGCTGAATGTGTACTTTACAAAAACGGTATCGATTTTGAAATTCACAGCTTTTGTATCAGAGATATTTGGTGTTAATTGTTTCGAATAACAGAAAAAAATATTTATTTTGTAGATTTTCTCAAATAACTCGAAATCTGTTAGAGATGTCGGAAAACGGTTTTCGACAGTCAATTCTACATAAAATGAACTATCTGTGAGCATATTTTAGTTGCTATCTGAGAGATTTCGGTTTTTGACAAAATCGACAGGGTTGCGCCGAGGATTTTTTTCGAAAAATTTTGGAAAATCGATTTTGTTTATTTCGTAATATGTTGTAGCGCTGAATGTGTACTTTACAAAAACGGTATCGATTTTGAGATTCACACCTTTTGTTTCAGAGATATTTGGTGTTAAATGTTTCGAATAACAGAAAAAAATATTTCTTTTGTAGATTTCCTGAAATAACTCGAAATATATTAGAGATGTCGGAAAACGGTTTTCGACAGTCAATTCTACATAAAATGAACTATCTGTGAGCATATTTTAGTTGCGATCTGAGAGATTTCGGTTTTTGACAAAATCGACAGGGTTGTGCCGAGGATTTTTTTGCTAGGGTACATGGGCCTTACTAGGAACATTTGCAAATCATAAAAATATGAACACTTAGTTTTTAGTTATAAATACGTACCGGGAAAGTTAAAACAATGTGTTATGTTTATAATATTATTTATAACGGTTATTCACAACTTTTTAGCTAAAAAAATATTTTGGCCTTACAAAGAACAAACCCATACGAGGCCATTATAGGTTATTTTTTTTCTAATTTCATTCTAAAACTCATTGGCAACTTATTTGTTATCAATACTCATTACTATAATTTTTAAATAATCTCCATTCATTTCTTAGTTATATGATTGTGTTCAAGGAATGTTCGTTGAGTTTTTTAAAGAAGATTATAATATGTTAAGCATTTAATTTTTCGTTTAAATGAAAGCGTTTTTTATGTAGTTTTAGTAAAAGCGGATATATTTTGATTATTACAACTATAGTTTTAAGTTGAACAACTGATTTATAACATCGGCCTTGCATGGAGCCCTGTTCCTTGCAAGGCCGTTTGGAAGAGCTTTTTTAGTTAAAAAAAAGTTAAGTTTAATAAATAGTGATTACATCTAGAATAAAAAAAAGTAATGTGTATGTTACACAATAAAATAAAGTGTTATTATTAATTTGTTTCTTTCATTTAGCAAGTAAATGAACTAATAAAACCTGTTTATTCATTACAGTGGCCCACCACCATCCATGATCCACCCACCGTATATGGAATAATTATATTATCAGTTGGTAATATGCACCAGGTTTAATGTAGTTTAACGCAGATTTTAACACTATTTTTATTGTTTTTGGCTAGAACTTTTTCGCTGGAATACTATTATAACAAGACTCACAACGTCAACCCTGGCAATATAACCTAGCAGCCAACCGAAGCGAAGTAGCGCTTTCGCCGACAACTACGCTTAACGCTTGCGTGAAGCAGTGGTCAGTGGTAAATTGTGGTAGTAAACGGCCAGCCGTCGCGCGCCGGCACTGTTTAATTCTGTTGTCGCTCTGCATTCTTAATTTCGACAAATAAAATGCCAGGATTTGAAATATTTACTATTCCAAATTTAAAGCTTTATTCCTCGCAATTAGTGGAATACATTATTGGTTTCAATTACACTTTATACTTTTTAGTTTACGATCATTCACAATGTCTATAAAACACAATTAAAATTAATAGAAGGCTAATATTTAGCTCAACAACAATCAAGTTTTGATTTCTAACTAACCACAAGTTCTCTTGACGGATGATAATCAAAGGCCCAAATTACATTTCTCGCAAATTTTGAAGTATAATTAGTGGAAAAGTTAAAGGTTTGTTAACTTTTCTACTAATTGGAAAATTGAAAATTACTACCACTAATTTTGCCGTTCTGAATGCTTACATTGATATTAAAGAAGCTAATTTGTACACTAATTGAAACCACTAATTGCGAGGTTCTGAATGAAGCTTAACCTACAACCGAAACTGACAGTTTATAAATGCAAAAATATTGAACCTCAACTGCTGCGAGCTCCCAACTGAAACTGAACTTCAATCCCCGAATTTATAAATCCAGCTAATTAGACGATCATCTAATTAGCGGAATTGTAGCAGTATTTGCCATATATCTTTCTATTTACCATTTTAAATTAACTTATTGTATACATGATTATACATCATACTTACCTTGTCTACTATTATTTAGAGCAGTCTGTAAGTCTCTCTGTTCAGCTTCTTTCCTAGATTTTTGTATAACGTCTTCTTCAGAAAATGTGCTTAGCCTTGCACAGTCAGGAAGTTCACTCTCTGGTAAAAAAGGCGTTTCAGTACTTGTGGTACCTATCCTAAGTACATTGGCTTTAAGATCTATACAACATTGATGTCTTTTTAACATATCTAGACCTACAAAGTATTTCAATCAATGTAAGTAATAATGGAAAATGATCATACTAGTACTACCCAAAAGCATGTCCATGGGTTGTTCCTCAAGCACTGAAAAACTTGTGGTTAGATATACATTTTCAATTTGTATTTGAACCATGTGTATCCTTCCAATTATTCTTTGAACTCCCACACCTTTGGCAATACCAGCCCATCTTGTGTCTACCAATCTCATTATATTACATCTTTCTGCACATTTACTCGACATTATTGTAGTTTGAGCACCTAGATAATTTGAGTATTTCCTTTATTATATACAGGGTATTTCAAAACAAATGCGAAAAACTTCAGGGGGCGATTCCTTGTTCAAAATAAAGGGTAGTTTGCTTCATAAACGTTGGGTCAAAAGTCAACCATTAGGGAGATATCGCGGTACAAAGATGGCGGAAAAAATGTTTTTATTTTTTATCTTGAAAACGAAAAGAGATAGACTAATAAAATTTTATGGAAGCATTACTGTTATGAAAACACACTTTCTGGTAATTTTTTCACTTTTTTAAAATGAGTGGAAGAAAAATCTTATCAAACACATGCAAAAAAATTAATTTGGATAGTTTAGTTTGTTTAGAAACTTTTTTATCTCTTGTATTTTTTTGATAAAACTCACCGATTTGAAATTAAAAAATAAAATGTAAAGCATTACATGTCAGGACAAAAAACATTTTCTGATAAAGAATCTAGTGGGCTGCTGTAATTTTTTAGGAAAAAATCTAGTCGGCCGCTGTTACTTTTAGGATGTTCCTAATATTATTTTATTTGACATTACTCTACTGCAATACGTTATTATCTAGATGATTATTATTATCGTTATTATCACTAGTTTCTTAATCTAAAAATGTTTTTGTCCTGACATGTAATGCTTTACATTTTATTTTTTAATTTCAAATCGGTGAGTTTTATCAAAAAACATAAGAGATAAAAAATTTCTAAACAAACTAAACTATCCAAATTAAAGCATTTGCATGTGTTTGATAAGATTTTTCTTTAAATTTCGTTAACAAGAATGATAGGGGTAGTTTATTTCAACCCCTTCCACTCATTTTAAAAAAGTAAAAAATTACCTGAAAGTGTGTTTTCATAACAGTAATGCTTCCATAAAATTTCATTAGTCTATCTCTTTTTGTTTTCAAGATAAAAAATAAAAACATTAATTTTCCGCCATCTTTGTACCGCGATATCTCCCTAATGGTTGACTTTTGACCCAACGTTTATAAAGCAAACTACCCTTTATTTTGAACAAGGAATCACCCCCTAAAGTTTTTCGCATTTGTTTTGAAACACCCTGTATATATACAGGAATCCCAGAAATAAGTGCAAGTATTTTAACTGATATTAGAGTTCAATCCCAGAAACACGCCCGTGAGTTTTTTCGTCAAAAAAAAATTGAAAATTCGAAATTTTTGGAAATTTTTTTTAGTTTTTAGTTAAAAAACATAATTTCTTGATAATATGGCAACTGGCAACATAGGTATTAGATTAAATTTACAAAAAAGAAAATCCAGAAAAGATCCAGTGGTTCTCAAAATTTTAGCGAAAAATAATTTTCTTTAGGTAATTTTCAAAGTAAATTATTATTTTGTTATTTTGGACTTATTTGAAAAACGATAGAGAAAATATGTTTCTTTTATCGAGATATACCACCCCTTAAAATACTTGCACTTATTTCTGGGACAGATTACATTAAAATCTAAAAGATAACATATAAACAAGATAATGATAGTAGTTAAAAATTCTAAATTTCTAAAATTTTATTGATAAATCAGTAGAGTTGTAATAAAGAAAATGTTCTCATTCATGTCGAGGGAAGGTTCGCGAATGTTCAGGATCATTGCACAGGAACGTGTCCTTATAAAAGCGCATATGAGCACAAACGAGCATGTATAAAGAAACGATAGTGTTCCCTATAGGCTTGGTGCATTCTCCGCCGGTGCTGCCACCATCGGAGACTATCGTAAACAACTGGTATATTTATACAAATACACCGGTTTAAATAGCGAGTATACAAAACATTTATTATATAATTATTCTAAAAGTGTTAGGAAGTATAATTTGTGGAAATTCTAAAAATAAAAATAAAAAGGTAAATATTTTGATATATTCAGAAGGTCTAACCTGTATTATAATTTATCATTCCAGCTAAAATTTTTTTAGATGAGTTCAACTGCGGTGGCGAACATAGTTTTAATCATGGGTTTTGGGGTCATAATTGGGGCTGTTTCAGCAATAACAAAATTTTTTAAAGGTACATAATTATAATTTTAGAAGATGTTCATAAAACATTTAATCACTAGTTGATTAAAAAAAGTATACCATTAATATTGCAAATTATATTTTAGCCTCTGATCTCTCATAGTATATGTTTATTTAATTTTTTATTACGTAACGAGCACTTTGTTTAGTCATTTGTTTCGTTGAACTCCTTGAAACCATTTTTGCTTTTGATCAAATCAGTGTAAGAAACTATGAAGCTATAAAATGTTGTTTCAGGAGAGTTGAATAGAGAAAGTTAAGCTATTGAATGTTATTGCAGCCAACAATGCCCTAATGACGCTCTCCTTTACGCGTTGACATTTTTCGGCAATTTTATTAACATATGAAATTGTCACAACACAACATGATGCCTAGTTCAAATTCTTTTTCACTTATTTTTTACTACCCGAAACAGCCCCCACAAAGCCACAATTTCAATATTATTTTAATGCGATCAACATAAACTGCATCCAGGACGGCGTGAAATACATAGCAAAAATTTCTGATTTCTGCCGTATACAGCGCCGCGGTCGGAATTTTTTGAAATCAACTGAAAGGCACCAAGTCTATATGTGATATGCAATTTCCTACCTATATATTAATATAGTAGTATTAAAATACCTGAATCAATGAAGGCTTTTACTGGATACCCATTAACGTGACAATTGATATATAGCATGACAACAGTTCCAAAAGACTCTGGATTGTATTCCATTGCGGCTTCCATATTAGCTTCAATGTTTTTCTGTCTAATTTCCTCAGCAATCAGTCTTTGCGCTTCAGTGTCAAATGGATCGGCATTAGCCATTCTAAGTCTTTGTTGTTCCCTTTCTTGTCTAGCTGTTACTTGATCTTTTAAAACCGATGCAAATGTATCTAGTAAAATATTAGATATTTAAGATTATAAAATTAAAAGAAAGTATTTAGTGTATATAAGTACATAGCATAGGGACATATAATCCTTATCTAAATTACACAAAAGTCATATTGTACCTATATTGCCACTAAGAAGTGCATCAGCTAATCTGGGATTATTTTGTTTCAACAAAGCTAACTGATCTGGATTAGCTAGGAACATGTCTCTAATTAATACAGGATCATCTTCAGTAGACCTGTTTCTGGTGCTATTTGGAACCTCTATATTGCTGAAGTCAAAACTGGAAACTAAAAAGAAGTTTTAACTCAATATATCTGATTCAAAAAAATATAATTATGGCATTGATGGCCAAGTTATTAGTGTCGTAATAAGGAAGTAAATTAAAAAAATTATATTTCAAAAAATGTATGACAAAGAAAAATATGATCTAAAATTAATCATATAAGGGGTGGCTTTTATATCTGAGGGGTGGTTTTTATACCTGATGGCTGTTGATCAACAGCAGTTTGGGATCTTGAATACATATGTTGTAAAATCACTGCATCGCCATCCCGAATGCCGTGGTCCTTCATAGACTTCTTGTTGTCCATTAAAGGCATTCCATTAAATGCTATTACAATTTCCGATGCGGGAAATCCCGATTCAATTTCACAAAAGGCTTTAAAGTTTTCTAGTTCTAAATCTTCAGAAACATCAAGCACAAAAATATAGTCAGTTAATGTAGTCACTGTTACCTTCATTTTTGTTTGATTGATAATACACTTATTTTTCACCGATTTGAGGACATTGATTCTAAATTTTATTTATTCATTGTTTTGAAAAACATCAAAAATGCAGAACGTCACTACTGTATGGAACTGTGGTTAATTATAAATAGTACGTGCGTTTAGGTGCTGTATCTTTTCTTTTGTTAAAATACAAAAGATATATCTATTTATAAAAATCTGCGTATTCACTGTTTCTAAATAATAAACACATTTAATTTTTCTCCAAATTTTCAGGTCAACAATCGTGAACAAAAAAAGATAGGAAAACAAAAGTCATCACAAATTATAATTATACCCCTTTAATTTAGGCAGACTAGGCAGCCAGAAAATATTCAAATGATATTATTGGTTGCCTGCTACGTAACTAAAATATTTTGTGTATATTTCTGGTTGTATATATATATGACTTACATACAGGGTGGAACATTTTTAAATATAAAAAATTAAAAATATTAATAATTATCTATGTATGATAGAGGCAGGTAACAGCAAAGTAATTTTAATACCTAGGGCATAAAAGTAAAGGACATTTACGTTTAAGCATCTTTTTATTCAAAGGTTTAAGCACAAAAGTACAAAAATTGTTATTAAATTCATATTAAATTAATTGATTTTGAGTGTCAAACTCAACAAGTGTAGGTACTCATTATTGCTCGACAATCAATATCTAATTCCCTACACTGTAGCCAGTAGCCATGCAATGTAGGTATAAGCACGGGTATTAAGTGGTATTTTACTTTTTTTAATACTCTTTATACTTAAAAATTTAGGAACACAACGTTTAAAAAATATACAATTTAAATTAATACAATATCCTAGCAACAGCTTGCGGTAATCAGTTGTATCCATCAAGAAAAGCTAGTCACAGCTAGCAACGTCGGGAAAAGGAGAATTTTAAGAAAGCTGGTTCTATAATACTAGGGTCGGTATTTCTAGCCTTAGGTGCCGATTTTCGTGTGCATGAAGAGTACGGTCAATATGCTCAGTAAAATAAAAGATGTGTGAATAAAGAAAGAAGAGCTTTACTTACTTTCCCACGCGCATGAAATCTAGCGTCGATTAAGTGGTTATATAACAAATACTTCGTATTTTTGCTCTCTCCAATAACTTATACTATACTCTGTTTTTTTTCTCAGGTAAGATTTCGACAGACGATGACAGAAGAAAAGCAGATGACGTCCCATACCAATCTATTTATTTTACTAAAAAAAGTTTCTAATAATTTTTAAGTTAACTATGGATGGGTTTAAATATAAATTCGTCATGCGTCGTCACTTGTTGTTTTTAACCAGTTCTATTGGTTTATTTCAAAAATGACAGATCGTATTTCAATTTCATTTGTTTGACTGAACGATGAACGACAAACGGACGCCGATGCGTATGAACTCGCCTTTAGATTTTTGACGTTTGTCAAAGTCTTGCCAAATTATACGTTATAATTTTGTGACAACTTTTGTCAAATACCCTGCGTTTTGGAAGATGATGCATTTTGATTCGTGTTATTACGTGTGTTTTGTGTCTTTTGAAGTCAAGTTGAGGAAAAATCGAGTGAAAATTAACTGTAGAACCCAGAGCACAGTTTATGGTTAATACTCGCTGCCCAGGCAGAAAGCAAAGCAGAAAGTCTTATACAGACACATCAATAAAGTTACTACCGTAAAATGGGGTGAATAGAAACAGTTTCGTAGGCTATTAGCGATATACCGGTTGATAAAAATGTGGTATTATGTTCCCGAATATTTTAAAACATGGGTCTTTGTTTGTTCTTTGCGTATACATATAATTTGATTTTTGAAAAATATGCATATAAATATTAAATAAAAATAACTTTTGTGTTTCTATTCACCTGCTATTCGGGAGAATAGAAACACACATTGATGTTAAGGTTTTTATCTATTCTATTTCCAACAAGGTGATTAGAAACAGATAATTATTACATATTTAAGTAGGTTTAGCAATAATTAATAATACATATAATATAACAACTTACATGTACCAGCTTAAGTATTACTTTAAAAATAAATATTTTATTTATAAAGTTTTCGCGCCATACAAAATAGGTGATAAATCGATCTCACATTTATTGATCAGCTGATTGACAGAAACAGTGCTGCCACAGATAAAAATATAGTTTTTACATTTTATTGTGAGTGCGTTCCACTAAGCGCTCACAATGCTCAAAATATGCCTTCGGTCGTTCCACATGACGATCGCGGACGTTGCGGTCGCGGCTAAAACGTCACTAATGACGTCATTATTTTCGCTCACGCCGAGCTCACAACGACCCATCTCAATAGTAGGATCGAAGTGGACGTTGAGGAATTTTGGCGCAATTTTTAAAACTTAAATACTGATACAAAGATTTCTATGGCTAAAAATGGCTACCGAAAAATTACTTTGTACGATTCAGAAAGAAGTGTGTTAGTAGAAGCATATGTGTCTCCAGAAGATGCTGAACGTGCGGCTACAGGTAAATATAATTGTATTAGATAAGTTTATTAGATTAAATTAATTTTAGTGTTTATACAAAAGCCTATAATCGGTAATATACACATACATAACCTAATACAATATTCATTATCAGTAGTAGAGGGTAGTAGTATATTTCATAAAAAAATATGTTTATAGATATAGTCTTTGCTACTCAATTATTAAAAAGTATTGAAAATGAGGAACCTTCTACAACTATTAATACCGATATGAATGATGATTGCAATAATTATGATCCAAATGATAATTTTATTGGCGAAGAGACACTTAATGAGACAGGTGAAACACAGATTCAACTGATTGAAACTCAAGAAAATGAAGGTAAATTAAAAATAAATCATATGGTTATCTTGCCTTGTATATGAGGATGTCAATTATATATCTGCATATTTTAGCCTCCTTATACAGGTGGAGTCCACCCTGTGTATTACTGCTATTAGAGACCTATAGGTCGATGGAAGGAACCCTTAAAAGTGGTAAATTACCCCAAAAAAAGTATGGGAGTCGATAGCTCAAAAGCTTATTGAAAAAGGTATCATGTAACTGGAGGGCAATGCTCATCTAAACTGCGAAGCTTAAAAAACATATAAATCCATAAAGGATTATAATAACAAATCAGGGAATGATAAAAGGAGTTGGCAGTTTTTGAAGTTAGTATATAGTTTTTAATATCCATATTTTTTAGATATAATTAAATTTTCTATAAATTGCAAATAAATAAGTCTTAAAGTCAATAGTAAAGTCTCTAATTAATATGCCATATTGTATATACCTAATGTATTGTATACTTTTTCTAGATAATGGAGGAAATCTTTGCCAAAAGGCATGGTGCAATCCAGTGGCAGTTGCATCTTCTAGTGGTCTCTCATCAAAACAGTTAGAAAGTAACAATAGTATGGAGGAGTCGGACGGTGGATGTTCATCAAGTGAGTTTATTAAATCAGATGAGACAACTCTTAACTAACCTAATGTAAAAATTAAATCTCATTCCAGATCTAATAAAAATACAATAACATATTTACTGGGGAAAAGACTGAAGCAAAGGGAAGAGCATGAGCAGTTTAAAATGAAAAGGCACGAGGAGCGGATGGAGATGGACAAGAAGTTACTGCAAGTTTTAGAAAAGTTAGCTGATAAATAATTGAGAATAATTCACTATTAATTTTATTAAAAGTACAGGGTGAGTTAACAATAGAGTAAAGTTTATTATCTCATTTGTTTCGTGGTTTACAAAAAAATGTTAAATACAAAAGTTACAGAAAAGGTTATGATACATATTTTAAAATTATTATCAAGTATACAGACATTTTTTTGTAAACCTCAAAACAAATGAGATAATGGACTTACTCCATCAATGACTCATACTTCACACGTTATAATACATTTGATAGTTTAATATAAAAATAAATTTATGCAATTAGATTTTCATTTTACAAAGAATCCATGATAACATCTCTTTTAAGAATTCCTGCATTTCTCCTTACTTCACGCAAAATGTTTCCATTATTTACCTGATTGCCGTCAGGTATGGTGATAACAATTAATTCATCTTCTTGTAAAATGCAGATATTATGAATTACACAGCATGCAACAATGTACTCTGCAATTAAATCTACCCTTGTCATTGGTAGACAATGTAATAAACTCCTCATTCGTCCTTTTAATAATCCAATGCATCTTTCAACAGTTACTCGAGCAGATGAATGATGGTAGTTATATTTTTTTTGTCTCTGACTTAAATGTCCATCATCTCGATAAGGAGTCATTAAATTTTGATGTATTTCGTATGCCGCGTCGCCTAGAATGTGGCTATTTTCTGGAAATGCAGCATCGTCATTTAAGTAATCTGCAACTTCTGACAGTCGGAACACTCTCTGATCATGGACAGACCCAGGGTGTCCAACATAACAATGTGTTATTTTTGTTTTATGATCACATACGAGCTACAAACCAATTTTAAAATGTATGTAAGTCAATTATTACCCAAACTAGTATCATGCTTAAAAGTAAAATATACAAATACCTACTTGCAACTGAATAGAATGGAATCCTTTCCGATTGATATAATCTCCTGGATTATTTTTCGGAGCATTTATATGAATGTGAGTCCCATCAATAGCACCTATTGTTTTAGGAAAGCCACTTGCTCTTTCAAATCCACGCATAACATCAATAGCACGATCTCCTGTAGGCCATTGTATAAATCTTGAGGCTCTTACAAATAAAGCTTTACAAACTCGACGTACAGCTCTTACTGCAGTAGCTCGTCCTACGTTAAATCTGTCACAAACTGATCTAAAATAAAAATAAAAAAATATGTCTATTTTAATTATATATACTTCCAAATATCAGACTAAAGTTATATTTTATATAAAATGTAACCTATAAGAATCCGTTGTAGCCATTTTCCAAAGAGCTATCATCAATTGATGATGAGAAGGAATTGTAGGACATCCTGGAACACGTCGAACTAAATCTTCTTGTATTAACTCATGCAAATAATTGAATGTGTTTCTTGAAATTCTTAAATAATAATTACATAAGTCCCTCAACAAATATATGACAAAATCATTTATTTACCTGAAATGGCTTTTAAACTCTTCACTTGAATAACGATTAATTACATTCTCATAGCCAATAATACGTGGTCTAAGTTTTCGCTTTTTACGATCGCGATTTTGTAAAATTGCATTCCACTCTTCGTCTGAACTAGATGAAGAAGTTTCAGACACATTCCGATGCACCAAATATCCAACTGTCGCCAAAGACATTTTGATTTCTTTTTTTTAGACAGATTTTTTGAATTCTCTTCTGTGATTTTGACTATTATTTACTATTTATTTACATACATTGACAGGATTGACGCTTAAAACGCCCCATAACCCATTCCACTTGAGTTTATGATTGTAACGCTCGCAAGCAAGTGGAACGGGAAAAATCGCGATCTTGAGCGTGAACGTTATGAGCGCTTAGTGGAACGCACTCTGTGTATTACCAATGATAGAAAAATTAGATATGTCGACTCTTTTTACTTTGAATATTTTTAATCGTGATTTGATTTTTTTCAGAAATTTTGTTTCTATTCACCCCTATGTTTCTATTCACCCCATTTTACGGTATCAATAAAGTTCGTATACCATCTCGTCGTAGATAAGTGCATCTCGAATATGGTAGAAGGACCATACTAAACACATACTAAAAACTGGAGTAGCTGTAAAATATCGACATCACACGATAGGTAAATAATGGATTTTAGTACTACAGAAAAATAATGTCAAAAGGTACTGGTTTAAAAAAATTAAGATTAAAGTTAATTAATTTTGACAGACGATGACAGAAGAAAAGCAGATGATGTCTGTGAGGTATAAAATTTGGTAAGTGTTATTATTAATAAAATAGTTTGTTTTATTTGTGTTGTTTTATTTATTCCTGCGGAATATTACAAATTTGTATTTGTACATAAGTTATATTCACAAATATAATGATAAATGCGGGAAGTTTCATAAAGCTTGAAAGTAAGAAATAGTTCTTTTTTATATTTTTTGGTATGTGGTATGTGTTTTTTATAAAATAAAATAATTCTATTACATTTTTTCAGTTTTATACAGTTTTTTTCACAATATTTTGTTACGCTTATTACGTTTATTTAATAAGTTACTCGTCAGTCAAATTTTAAATACATATATTAATTTCCTGCTATGCGTTCCAGTTGTACCAACTTATTTCTTTGTAAAATAAAATAAACTAAATTAAAAATGACAGACACATCTATCACTGTCAAGGATCTTCTTGTTGGACAGACTATAGATCGCCATAACGATTCACTCCTAATCATGTAAACGCCGACCCAATATTTCGCTTGCCACTATCGTACCGTATGATCGAAAAAAAAACGGCGTCCAGTTGGCTGGGGAATGATAAATTAATGGGGAATTATCAATGACATTTCTCATATAAATTTACATATAAAATGACAGCGATCTTCATTCCATAGCCATCGCTGACGCCGTTTTTTCTCGATCATACGGTATATCTTTTGCTATGCTCTCTTGAACATCGTGCGGGCCTTCTGCCGCACTGTGGTCAATTTTTAAAAATTATCAGGAAAATATTAAAAAATCTGATGAGGCTAAGCGGCGTCAAAAACTCCATAAGTAGGCTTTGAAATAGTTGCTAAGAACATTTCATTAACAAATATGTCAAAGGTCGTTGCGAATTTACTGTTATTTTGATTGAAAATGTAGTATAGTTGAAAAGATAGTTGACAAACTAAACTAAATAATCTTATTTGCACATGAATAAAGTTTTTAATTTGGGTATTCCGTGCAAAAAGTTATATGTCATTAATACTATCTAAAATGGAAAGAGCAATTGTTGGTGGTAAGTTTTTTGACATTAATGTTCTTCTGTTGAGTATTAAATATGAGTAAATAATTTTGATATGGTTAGATTTTTTTTTAAATTATTAGAATATACATTTTTTTAATGAACTAGCAGAAACAAGTCTTAAGAGGTTTCAATTTTAAATAAAGTTAAGTTGATAGTTAAACCATTAGACAACTTTACCAAACCTACAAATTTACCGTCGTAGTCCGTCTGTTAAGTCCAGGCAATTTTTTAGGACGTATTGCCCAGATTAAATGCTTGGAGGTTGTTGACTTTTTAAAAGCAATTGTTAGCAAAATCTGTAAGATCCATAGTATTATTCTTAGAATATGATAATTTTTAAATATTTAACATATTTATGCAAATGATCGCGACCAAAATCTATTTAAAATAAAAAATAACGAAACTTTTCCAAGTTTTTAATTATTATACACCCTGTATACGACCTGTTCTTATTAATTATATTATTAATGTAATTTTATGATACCTAACATATAAAATCGGATATAGTTATTAATCAAAGTTAAGTAATTTTCACTAATATTTTTTTTCCGGCTAATTTGACAAAATTGACCACAGTGTGCGGGTAGAAGTTGCGTTCACTACTGCGCATCACATCTGTACAGTGTATCCCATTTTCGTGTGTTTTATGGAATTTCTCCGTTATGAGTATATAGAGATACAATGATGCAGTTTTCACTTTACTTTGATACTTTTTTATGAAACTAAATATTCTACACATAGAGTTGTACTCGTCTTCTTAATTCCTAAAATACAAGGCAAATTTGAGTTTAATGCATTTTCGACACCGCTTGTATCTCGATTATCTTATAACTTATCGAAAAGATGAAAAATGTGTCCATGTAGAATCCAGTGGCGTGGCTAGTTTTTCGCTGGGAGCTGTCATTTTCGAAATATGATTCAAAATTATGTTTTTTAAACGGGACACCCTGTACATTATTTTTTCATTTTATTTGCCTTATTATCAGCTTTCTAAAATATAATATATTCCATACTTATTTTCACAAATAAGGTAAAAAATACGTTATTTAATATTTTATCATATAAGCGGCCGGTTTAAATTAAGTAATTTAATAATTTTCAAAATTCGTTTTCAGTTAAATAAGATAACACGAAGGAAATCAAGGACAAATCTATGTGTAGCATATTTAGTTACATAAAAAAGTAGCAAAGTAATGTGAAACCTGCATCATTGTATCTCTACTTATAAACGAGAATAGGTGCGATGGCTGGTGCAGCCATGACAATTTTCTAGCGACCATTAGTAACTATTTTCAAAATCGACATTAGTTTATGGACATTATTATTTATAATTTATAACATTTTACTTAAATTTAGCTATAAATAGTTCAATAAGTAAGTATTCATTATTTTATCAAGAAAAATAAAGCTGTATCTGCTGGCGGAACGAATGGATATGTTACTAGTGATTTTATTTTGTGAGGAAAATTGCTGCCTAACCTAACATCTTCCTGATAAGCATTCCTTTGAAAAACTACTTGGCCTATTTCGCCAGAGCTGGTAGTGTGGTTTATAAAAAACCTATTAGGCAGAAACCTGTCGTTGGAAGTGAAGAAAATGAATTTCCGTAATTGGCTCTTTTATAGAAAATCCATATATCTATAAGTCATCGTAAAATAAATAAAAAAACTACTTCTTCGTTTTGTTGATAGAATAATAAATACACACATATTCAATAAATACACTACTCAAAAGAATTATCGCATATTTAAATAAAAATAATTATTTCATATTTTTCTGCCTTTCTCTTATAAGTTTTTTTAGGATAATTAGGGTACGCACAGACATGTAATTTTTAGTGGGCCAACTATTTAGTTGCATATCTGTAACCAATATATTCTTATGGAGCCGCGTTCACATGCAATCAAATAGTCTGCCGATCGACTTCATAAGTATGTATTGTATTCACTTTTGCAACTAAATAGTCAGCCGACTAAAAATTATAGGTCAGCGCATAGGCTTAATTATTGTATAGAATTTCCCTTCACAGTACCCATACTATTTAAAATCGTAAGTTAGGGAATTTAAAGTGTCTTGTTTTTCAAATTAATATATTCTTTTAGAAAATATGGGATAATTGTTTTGAGTAGTGTATTATTTATTAAATTATTGTAGGTAAATTAAATACAAGTATACTGGTATAAATTTAAATAAGTCCATAAATTAATTTCGCTTTTGAAAATAGCTACTATGTAACTGTCACTAGAAATTTGCCATGCCCTCTTGGTTTCCATTTTATTGAAAATTTGCTCTTTATTCAAAAACTGAGCTAGATAGGTATAGAAATCTCCAGAATGTTCTCATAGAGACAATAGATCCCACCTCTGAATACCATTTTTAAAGGCTTTCTAATAGCGGTAAAAATGGAAAAGAATAAATAACACTAAACATATAATTTTATTATCACTTCTTTAATTAAAAAATATTTCGAAAATTACATGTGAGTAGGTACCAATATCTGTTTAATGCATTAGAGACATTAAGTTAATATTTCCAAACAAATTATGGCATTTTCCAAGGTTACCTAAATTTATTAAATAGTTGTCATCGAGAGAAAGAGAAGGCCTCACGGTTTACGATTGACGTCAACGACAGAAGTCAATGAAAGGAACTGTTTACATACTGGACATATTACCATGCACAGATTTAATAGTCATAGCAGTTTGGCCTTCTCATTCTGTAGATGGTAACGATTAGATACGTTTTCTAAATCCTAATTTATTTTCTATTCCATTTAAAGAATTCTCTTCTTCTGTGGCTTCTCAAATGAGGTGGCAAGCGACTTTCAGAGAAAATTCTCGGCGGTGCTGTCACCTGGTTGTGCAATTCTGAAATTCGACGTGCGAAGGAATTGACGTGGTTTCGTAGCCGCGGAGGAATTATTCGGTTGTAGTTCAACATCGAAGACGCCTGCTTCTGTTCTTCGGGCCTATCCACTTTGATATGTTTCCATCTGCAGCCGGGTTCAGGTTTTCTTATTATTAGGCTCTAAAAATATTTTACTGTTAGTATATTACAAGTCAATTGCAAGACAATTTACATAACTAAAAAATAATTCTCATATCTCTAAATTATACCGGTCTATTCACCAAAATACACACACATGCAAAAAAACGCAACGGAGAAATTTTTGGTCAAATTTAAAGTGTTATATTTTTGTTATTTTTAGCCCTATTTTCATGAATTTTTTAGAGAGCCGAATATAATTATATCAATTTTAATTCGTAAACTCAGATTTTTATAAACTTTGGTATTTGGCATATTATACAGGATTAATCGAGGGGTTGTTTTTTTACCTTAACTTTAAAACACCCTGTGCTATACTTTTGTGTGTAAATTTTCCTAAAATATAATTCTACGGTTAGAACCATGACTCCTGAGCATTTTGTTTCTTGATTCATGTCAATATATGCTTTGGTTAATTTTTAAGAGCGAAATGAACTGATAACGATCAATTTGCATTTTTTTCAGTAATCAATACATTTTGATGTAATTTTTTAATATGAGGAGATTGTTTTGGTGACTATTGTCGTAACGTTATATTATACTCACTGCATTGGGTACTGTATACTATTAACGATAATAGAACTAACGATATTAAAGAAAACATCTGTAATACTCAAGTATATACTTTCACAGAATAAAATGTAAAAAATACCCCAATACTTTGTATTGCTGCCGTTGACCGCTATAAATGCTTGTATACGTCCGTTCATACTGTCATTGAGGCTGCATATATCATATTGCGTTATCTTTTCCCATTCTTCTTTAAGAACCAAGCGAAGTTTATTTAATGAAGCTGGTATTGCTTCGCGACCTCTAACCCTCCTGCCAAGCATTTGCCAAACATTGAACATGATGGGCAGTTCATAGTAATATATAGTTCACAATAATCAGCCATAATAATCATCAAGCCGCCTTGTTACATTGAAAAATGAAAAAAAGAAATGATAATTGAAAAAATTGCAAATTGTTGGTGGCAAGTTCATTTCGCTCTTAAAAATTAACCAAGGCATGTATTGACAAGATCTAAAAAACAAAATGCTCAGGAGACATGGTTCTCATCGTAAAATTATATTTTAGGAAAAATTTACACACGAAATTATTGCATAGGGTGTTTTAAAGTTAAAATAAAAAAACAACCCTACGATTAACCCTGTATAATATGCCAAATACTAAAGTTTATAAAAAACTGAGTTTACGAATTAAAATTACCAATAAACACGTTGAGTAGATAGTTATTTCACTGAAATAATAAATTTGGGAATTTTTTATTTTTTTTTAAATTAATCATAAATTTTTCTGCAAAAAATAACGTTAAAACAGTTTCTGTTGAACTTTTGGCACAAAAACATTTCATATTTATGATTTCAGTCTAATAACTATTTAGTCAACATGTTTAATTTATGTCAATGATGACAGGTATTGACAATTTCGATTCCAAATATCTCGAAAACCATTACTCGTAGCGATTTTTACCAAGTGACCTTTTTCACGTAAAACACGTCGTAAATGTATATTTTTTGACTCAGTAGTTTTATATAGGTACGGACGAAAAGTTATTACTTTTTAAACCAGTTAACAAATATGTAGGTGGCGCCCTCAACTAGTAGCAGTCATATTGACATCAAAATCAAATTTCTCATGTCAAGAAACTCCCAGACACCAATTTTCATCCAAATATTGACGTTAATTCACAAATTATTTGGAAAAAATCGAAATAAAAATAAAACTTCTACACCCTGTATCTCCGAAACTAAACATTTTAGGACATACATTTATACGAACTTTTTTACTTATTGTTATCTGCAGAATATGCTGCCGAAGTTTCCGAAATACAGTTCGTACCACCCTGTATATATTTAAAATAATATACAGCAATGACTGCTGTTAAATGCCATTTTAATTAAAAATAAATTTTGTAATTTTTTGGATAACATTATGACTTTGTTACGATGTACAAAGTCATAACAAATGTCTACCGAAATGTTTCCATAATGTATATACGAGACGGCCAAACCCTAACGAAAGATTTCTATACGATGATTTTAATTAAAGATGAAGAGAGGATAGAGGGATAGTACCTACGACGCAGGTTGTCGTAATTTCTCAAAATTTATAGAAAGTTGGAGACCAGAAACGGTCAAGGCGGGAAGTGTCGGCATTTGAATAAATATATAGAAAAAACTTATATATATATATATATATATAAAATCAGTTGCAGCAGCTTGTTTTAGATAAATTAGACAGTCTAAACAAAGACTACATAATGATAGCATATCATAAAATCAATAAATGTCTAGTATTTCTTAAACTAAGCATAATTCTATATTGTATGATTCTCATATTATAATATGTTAAAGCATCAAAAATTGAGACTATTCGGTGTCTATACTTTGATTCATTTATTGTACTACAATAGACAACTGTTATTAATTTTTAAAATAATATACGGCAGTGACTGTTGATGAATTTAATTTTAATTTAAAAGTAATAAATTTTCTAATTTCTTGGATATCCTTTTTTGAAATAGTATTGTTACAATGTACAAAGTCATAACAAAAGCCTACCAAAATGGTCCCATAATGTACGAGACGGCCAAACATTAACGGTCGCTCAATGTCCAATTTTTCTGTTTTACATAAATTAGACATTTTAATTGATTAATCAATTAATCAGTTAATCAGTCTATCATAATAAAGACTATATAATGATGGCATTCAGATCGCCATAAAATTAATAAATGTTCCTAGTATTTCATAAATTTAGCATAATTCTGTATTATATGATTGTCATTTAATAATACAGGAGTGCAGTGCTAGTTCGCCTCCACGTGGTGCACCCTGGGTAATTCTAAATGAACTAGCAACAGCTGGCAGCCAGATAATCGTAAGATCTCCTGGCTAAGTACACATTGTTTATTTTTATTTTCTTTTCTTTATTAGAAAGAGAATATATACATAAAAATGACTAAAAAGCATACAAATGGACCTTATCAGGACCAGACGACTAGAGAAATCGGACCACAAATCCGTTTCTGCCAGCTTAACATAGAAGGTATTAGCAGAGCAAAATGCCAAATTCTACACCAAATCTTAGTTGATAACAAAATTGACGTAGTCGCACTGCAGGAAACTCGAACAGAAAACGAAAGCCAGCTCCACTCAAGAGGAAGAATACCAGGCTATGATATTGTAGGAGTAACATACCATCACGCCTATGGAGTGGCCACATATGTGCGCAGTAGCATTGAAAACGCACACTTACTCTCCACTTCCGTGGCAAACAATATACACCAAGTAACAATAAAAGTAGGAGAACTAACTATATGCAATATTTACAAACCTCCAAATAAACACTGGCCACCCCATGTCCTGGAAACATAAACACCCTGCTATTTATATAGGTGACTTTAATAGTCACCATACGCAATGGCGATATAGAGATAACGATATCAATGGCGAAACCTCTGTTGACTGGGCTGAGGAAAGCAATATACAACTGATTTTCGACGCAAAAGAACGTGGCTCCTTTAGATCAGCGGCTTGGAGACAGGACTACGATCCTGACTTATGTTTTATTACCGCAGATGATAAACATAATCCGATCGAAACAATTCGACTATTTTGTCTGATTTTCCCCATAGCCAACATCGCCCAGCGTTAATAAAGATTGGTTCAAGTATCCCTTTAATATGTTCAATCCCACGACCACGTTGGAATTTTCAGAAGGCAAATTGGATGACCTATTCCAGAGACCTGGATAAAACTTTAGGTTGGATTCCTCCAACCTCGGAGAGCTACGGGAGATTTGTCGGTGCAATTATTAGTACAGCAAAGAAACATATACCTAGAGGTTTTCGCAGCTACCAGGATGGGACCAGACCGCCGAAGAATTGTACGAGCAATTTCAAATTAGTGGCGACAGGGAGATAGCAGACGAACTTATACACAGTCTGGACAGTGCCAGACGAGAGAAGTGGATGAAAACAGCCAAGGATACAGATTTTAAAAGATCTAGCAGAAAAGCGTGGGCCCTCCTACGTAAGTTGGGAGGCGGAAAAGGACCACTTCGTGAAAATATAGCAATCGATCCCAAGAAAGTAGCATCCCATATTGTCATGACATCTAAAGGAAAAACTCATCGAGAAACCACCACTCGTATTAAAAAAGATCTTAGATCCCTCAAAGCTGCCTGCACTACCAATCCAGTCTACTCGAGGGACTTCACGGTTGATGAGATTACCGAGGCGATATCCGCTGTGAAACCCGAAAAATCTCCGGGTTTTGATGGGATTCATCCTGAATTTCTCATTCACGCTGGTGGGTTTACAAAACTATGGCTGGCAAGATTTTTCACTGCTATAATGAAGTCCGGTAACTTTCCGGCCAAGCTCAAACATGGAAAAATTATAGCAATTCTAAAACCAGGCAAACCAACAGATCTCCCACAAAGCTAACGACCAATCGCTCTGTTAAGTTCTTTCTATAAACTTTTCGAACGAGTACTGTATAACCGACTGAGTCCCATTGTATTTGCCAACATTCCTATAGAACAAGCAGGATTCCGGCCCAATCGAAGTTGCTCGGACCAAGTTATGTCTTTGACCATACATCGAAGCAGGTTTTCAGAGAAAGGAAAATATCTCCACAGTGTTCATAGACCTCTCTGCAGCTTACGACACTGTTTGGCGCTACGGACTACTTTACAAACTAATTAGAATAGTACCATGTTTGAGGATCATTAAGCTAATTGATAGTATGATTGGTGGCAGAGGTTTCCGGGTTGTTATGGGGGAGAAAATAAGTTAGCAGAAAATACTAAACAATGGATTACCGCAGGGATCGGTGTTAGCACCCTTGCTTTTCAACCTGTATATAGCCGACATACCAAAAACGATATATAGAAAGTTCGGATACGCCGATGACTGGGTTATAGCCACCGGACATAGGTCAATGGAAGTTACTGAGCAAGCCTTAACATCTGATTTGACAGTACTAGCAGAGTATTTTCGCAAGTGGCGGCTTAAACCAAACGTTTGTAAAACAGAGGCTTCTTGTTTTCACCTCAATAACAGAGTGGCAAATAGGGAACTTGAGGTATACTTTGAGGGAAGGCGGCTCTCACACAGCAGACAACCCACATATCTTGGAGTTACGTTGGATAGAACTCTGTCATTTAATGTCCATCTCACCAAGCTTGCTGCAAAAATACGCACACGGAACAACATACTACAAAAGCTATACGGCACTACCTGGGGATCATCTGCGGCCACTCTAAGAACATCAGCCTTGAACCTCGTGTACTCAACGGCCGAATACTGTTCACCTGTCTGGTTGAATAGTGCCCATGTCAACAAAGCGGATGTCCAGCTGAATATCACAATGCGAATCATCTCAGGGGCTATAAGAACTACACCCAAATACTGGTTGCCTGTTTTAAGTAACATACCTCCTCCTAACTTGAGGAGAAAACAGGCTTTACATAGAGAGCACAAGAATATATTGCTAAACCGGGAACTACCAGTACATTGTGACATAGCAGATTTAAATATTAATAGACTCCGCTCAAGAAAGCCACCGCTCTCATCAAAAACACTTGGGAATACTGACGAGAATGCAGAGTTTAACTTATATGAAGCATGGATAAACGAATGGATGGAAAACGCTCCACCACAAAATCGGGATTTCACATGTATCTCAGCAGTTCCTCCTGGTTTTGAGCAGCCTCGCAAAATATGGGTAACTCTAATCAGGCTGAGAACCGAACATGGCAGGTGCATGGATTCTCTATAAATGAGGAAAGGCCACCACTCCGGTATGTAATTGTGGAGCTCTACGACAGACTATTCGACATATTAGAGAAGAATGCGCTTTAACGGCATATGAGGGAGATTCTGGAGATTTCCTGAAGGCAACACCAAGTGCGATTGATTATATAAAAAGACTAGATGTTTGTGACATTAAATTTTCCTTTTTACATTTTGTGTTTGACATGTCCAATTTTTGTTCGTATTCTTATTATTAGTATATTTACAGCTGCGATAATAACATGTGATTTTATGTGTACTGTATACGCTAAATAAATAAATTTAATAATACGTTAAAGCAAAAATTTTGCAAAAATAAAAAAATCGGACTATTCAGTGTCCTATTTTTCCTATTTAGACATTATAATTAATTAATTAGTCCAAATAAAGATTACATAATGATAGCATTCAAATTATCATAAAATTGGCATTCAGATCGCTATTAAATAAATGTCTTTAGTATTTCTTGAATTTAGCATAATTCTGTATTGCATGATTCTCATTTTAAAATAAGTTAAAGCCAAAGCTTTGCCAAAATCAACAAATGAGACTATGCAATGTCCTATTTTTGCTTTTTTTTTTAAATAATATGTAGTGACTGTTGTTGCCTGTTATTTTAATTCATAAGTAATACATTTTGTTACTTTTTTGGATGTCGTCTCGAGAAAACGTAGTATTACGGTGATCAAAACCATAAAAAACCCTATCAAAATGTTTCGTTAATGTACGAAACAACCAAACCGTAACAAAAGATTTCTATAAGAGGGTTTTATATATAGTCGATGACGAAGAGGATGGAAAGATCAATGCTCTATGGTGCAGGTCGACATGAATTCGTAAAATTTTGAAACATAATTTTTATTTAAGATAGTGTTAAAATTAGGTAGTGTATATGTTTTTAGCTGTGTAATAAATTAGTTGTAAGGAATCACGGAATCTGTAACAATTGGTTTCAAATGTGGGACTATCTGAATTTTAAAAAGAAATTTAAGTGGATTTCTGAAGATTGTAGATTGGGTCAGAGAACTTTTATGGTTGTAAGGAGACAATAAGTGAAGAAAATAGAATAACTTAGGAAACTATTGGGAGATTTTACGGAAAATTTGAAGAGGCAAAAAGTAAGATCAAGACAGCCAACATAAAATACTTCTAGAAAATCCGCAAGTCCAACGACATCAGTATATATGCTAGGGATAAGCATGCTTTAAGAAACTTTTAGAGACTCAGGATCTTAACTGACGATAAGACCAGGACCATCTTAAGAAAATTTTAGAAGGCTTAGAAGCGTGTGTACGACATTTCTACGATTAGCGGATGTATGTAAAATACGGTCTATTTTTAGTTGAAGAATTGATGCTAGAATAATTCTGTATAATTTTTTTTATTTTTAACTTACATCATATTGAGCACCGCTGGGGCATACTAAAACTGCCTTATAATATGATCCGGATTCTGGTTTCCTCCTTACATAGTTTTCAATTTGATGTGAATGCAGCGAGTTCCTGACTTCTAAATCGTTTTCTAAAATGAAATCGTTTAATTAAATCTTTGTTAATACGATCTTTATTATGTACAGGGTGGTCCGAATTGTATTCGGGAAACATCAGCATAAATTTATGTCCAAAAATGTTTTGTTTGGGAAATACAGGGTGTGGAAATTTCAATTTTTATTTCGATTTTTTCAAAATAACTTCTGAAGTAAAGCCGATATTTGGATGAAAATTGGTGTCTAGGTGTTTTTTGACATGGGAAATTTGATCTCGATGTGGTGATGTAGGTAACGTTTTGTCAATAATGACGTGTATTGATTATTTCGTTTCCAAATATCTTGAGAACTATTACTCGTAGCCCTTTTTATCAAGAGAACTTTTTTTTATGTAAAGTAAGTAAAGAATGTAATGTAATGTGTGTTATGTAATACAAGTAAAGACAAAAAGTTATTACTTTTCAAAACAGTACAAAATATGTAGGGGATATTGGGGCAAGTTGGAGAAGTAAAATACAAAAGGCTCCAAAACACGAACTAACGGGTTTAAAAAAAAGATCCCATTTCATCTGTTAGTACATTTATTCAGGTACATAATGAAACATAAAAAACAAAATAAAAGTGTACTCTTGAAAAAATATAAAGACAACACAAAATCACAACAAAAAAGTGCATTTTCGTCAACTTGCCCCAGTACCGGGGTAAGATGACGAGCCTATAGGGGAAAGATGACGATTATAAACAATGTCGCAGGTATATGTGGCATCTTTTTCGTAGACTGTGCACGACTCGTGCCACCAGATCTCGCACGTGTTACATTGAGTCCAGTCTTCTGTAGGAGACTCAATATAGGATTCCTGGCAACAAGGACAAAACATGTCATTAGTTTTCTTCTTCTTTCCTACCTGCTTTTCACGATTTTCTTGAAATACATTTCTCTTGACTTTCACAGAATCAACCTTCCTTCTTTTAATTTCTTTTAAGTGTTTTTCATTGTTTTTCCTTTCCTGTTCTTCTTTGTTGGGTGTTGAGGTGATGACAGAAGCCCTTTGTTTAATTCTTTTAGTAGTTTTTACGGGACGTGTATATTTGGGAAAGGGTTTCATTTCAAGTAGCGTAACTCGACTATCAACATTAGAGATTGTTTGACTGGAGCTGGATGAACTTATAGTACCAAGAGCTTGTGCTTCATTGTTTTTTGCAGATTTTTTTTGATGTAGGCCTGAATGTCCAGGAAAAGACAAATTCATTGACCTTGCCGGCTGATTTTTTTTTGGAAAGCAATGCGGGTTTAGCATCTGGTGTTTCATAGATTTTATTCTTTGCAGAATCCATTTTATTCAATCCTGAGGGTCCTGGGAGAACTAAATTAACAAGCTTTTCTGCTTCTAATTAACAATGCTCTAATACTCAGGTCAGTTAGGTAGGTCACAAACTGAGCTTCCTGAGCATCAGAAAACGTTCTTCTGAATCTCCCATCACTAAGAGGAATTGGTTCGTTGTTATTTATGCTTTTTTATATAACGTCTTAATGTTGCTTCCGGGATTCTATGCTCAATACTGGCAGCATTAACTGGCTTATGGTCGTGCAAAATAGAGTGCAACGCGGCAATTAGCACGTCTTCTGACCAAGAGCGTCTATCTGTACGGTGTTTATAAGTTCTCACCATCTAAAAACATCAAAAAACCAATTTAATTAATTTAATACACAGTGGGGCAAGTTGATGAATTCGTCATCTTGCCTCCGTCAACTTGCCCCAGGAAACATTTTTTAGGAAACAGCAAAAATTAAATTGTTAATTAAGTGAAATTAGGTTGTATCTTACCTTCTAATATTTAAAATGTTCACAATAATCAAGATTAACTATGAAAGGGGCTTCTATTTTTCTTTAAACCTGCGAAATCGCTTATTTTCTGGAGCTGGATGTTTACATCTAACAGGTGTGAAAAGCAGTTATGAATTTTTAAACCCGATGCAAAAGTGATAGCTCCATGTGTAACGACGTATTATACACCTAAAGGAATTTATAGAAAAATAAATGGGATTTTTAGGATGTACAGTTTTTTTAAATCAGTACTTCGTCATCTTGCCCCGTTCGTCATCATGCCCCGACCTCCCCTAGGTGGCGCCCTCTACAACTAGGAGACTTATTGACCAAAATCGAAATAAAATTTCTTATGTCAAAAATAAATCAGACACCAATTTTTATTCAAATATCGACCTTAGTTGGAAAAAATTGAAATAAAACTGAAATTTGTACACACTGTATCTCCTAAATTAAGCATTTTATGACATACATTTATACGAACAGTGTTTCCTTGGAAACGACGTCTTTACAGATCGGTGACATTCCCTATATAATTTTACATATAAAATGACAGCGACCTTCATTTCATAGCCAAGCTAGCGCCGTTTTTTTTCGATATACAAATTAAGAACAAGCCTGAACTTAAATACTGCATATTCAGGCAAGCATTATTGACTTATTGGCACTAGTAAAAGCTGAACTTTATATTAAGTAAAACAGATGTATCATTCAATAAAAAAACGGCGTCAGAGATGGCTTGAAAATGAAGATCACTGTCATTTCGTATGTAAAATTAAATTGGTTATGCCATCGATACTTATTTTCAAGCCAACTCGACGCCTTTCTTTCGGTCTTATTCTATATTTCTTATATAAATAAAGTATATTTATATTATTTCTTCTTTGTAATCTGTTACCTTTAACAGTAATGGTGAAATGACAAAATGCTCTATTACCAGCTGTGTCTGTAGCAATATAATTAACATGATGGAGACCGGTTACGAACTCTGTTCCAGGTACCTAAAAATCATTATACCATTAACAGGGTGCAGGGTGCAGGTAACCATAAATAGTTTATACTAACAATATTTATACGAACACCAAAAAGCTATTTATTGTTATGTATTGCACCCCTTATTTATTATTAGATAGAGGCAGATTTTTCAATCGTACCTTATTAATATACGCTCAGAGAATTAGGTGAAATGTAAAAGAATAAGAAAAAAATTCAAATATGATTCTTTTCATAAAGAAAACACTTTTTTTTCATATCTATAATTTTTTTGAATTTGACGTTTACCTACAGAGTTATACAGGGTGTTCCAGGTTGAGCCTGCATTAGAAGTTTATAGAGAACAACAATGTCTAGATCGGAAAGTTTTTCCACATCATTGTTTTACGAGATCTCTAAATATTTTCAATATGGCGGCACTTCCGGAAATACCAGAAGTTGACAGCAACTCTCTTATTTTAAATGGGTGCCCCCATTTTTCATTACATAATTAAATGATTTTATGAATTTTTATATTAAACACTCTATACTTAACATTAACAGTTTTTGGAGAAAAAAATTAAAATTTTTGGACGAAAAAAACTGCCTGTCAAAAAAATGTGTATAAGCTGTTTGTATAGGCGTTTGTCAAATTTAGTGATTAACACAGCCACTGTGATATAAAGAGTAGACATGTGGCTATCTATTTCAAAAATTAAATTGTTCGAATATCCTATAATAATGGCGGCAGCTGTCATGGAATTGAGCGATAAAGAAATTATCACAAATCATTTTTTTAAAATGTAAACCCACTTTTTTAATTTCACTAGTAAAAATGTTTTCCAATTCGTTACTTTTTGAGCTGGCCTCTGTGGAATCGTCTCAGATACTGGCTTTTGTTAAAGCCCTGAGACTGTAAGATGAGTTATACCTCGTTATAACTCAAGAAAGGGATTCACACAATAGATCTGTAAGGTCGCGGTGATTAACTCCCCTCCTAAACATTCTACATTCTACTTTTTGATTGTACATGTACCTATACCCAAAATAAATCGTTTTTAAGTTATAATTATATGACATTTTAATTTTTACAATTTAATTTTTAAAATAGATAGTCAGGTGTCTTTTCTTTATATCACAGTAGCTGTGGTAATCACTGAATTTGACTTTTAGGCTATACATTTTTTTTTGACAGTAGTTTTGAATAGTTTTTTTCGTCGAAAAATTTTAAATATTTTTTTTTCTCAGAAATGGTTAATGTTAGATATAGAGTGTAACATCATCATCAATAAAAATTCAGAATTTTTATTGATGATGATGTTACTTACTTGATGTAAATTATGTAATGAAACGGGGGCCTCCATTTAAAATAAAAAAGTTCTGTCAACTTCCGGCATTTCCGGAAGTGCCGCCATATCGAAAATATTTTTAATCGATAGATTACGTTTTAAAACAATGATTTGCAAAAAATCTCTAATCTAGATATTGTAGTTCTCTAGAAACTTCTAATGCACGCTCTGCCTGGGACACCCTGTATATCGGATGCTTTTCAAAAGTGGCTCACTCCTATAACTTTTAAACCAAACAAAAAAGCACAATAATTTGTGTTGAAAATAATTTAATAAATTTTTTAAATATTTTAAATTAGTATGAATTCGAAATATACCTATAGATAAGAAAAACTATGTAAAAATAATATTCATTAATCATAGTTACCCTTGACTTATAAACATGAGCTATTTCTACATTATCATCAAATTGTGGTTCTCTCCAATGAACCATTTGACTAGTCTGTCCACTTTCCAAAGACCTTTCGATATTTTCGGGACAATTTTGAACTCTCGGACTTTCTTTGTCTTGAACCTCGACAACAAGGGCACATGATGCAGTACGATTCAAATACGATGCAGTAAATATAATTTCTGTACTGCCAGCTGGCAATGTGTTTTGGAGATGTTTTGCCCATGCTGGCTCTGAGGTAACGTACCTATTAAAATATATATTTAATATAGAGACTACTTTAAAACAAATGCGAAAAATTTAAGGGGACGATTCCTTGTTCAAAATAAAGGTCAGTGTGTTATATAAAAGTTAGGTCAAAAGTCAATTATTAGGAAGATATCGCTGTACAAAGATGGTGGAAAAATAATGATTTTATAGTTTACTTTAAAAAAAGAAAAGCGATAGAATATTGAAAATTTATGGAATAAACACACTAATTCTGTTCTCTATTCTGTATTACTTCTTTAAAATGAATGAAATGTGGTGATATACAGGGTGGTCCGAACTGTATCCAGCAGCATATTCTGCAGATAAAAATAATTAAAGAAGTTCGTATAAATGCAGGGTGTAGAAGTGTCTTTTTTATTTCGGTTTCTTCAAAATTATTTCTGAACTATAATCGATATGTGGATAAAAATTGGTGTCTGGGTATTTGTGACATAAGAGTTATTGGATTTCGATGTCAATATGACTACTACTTGTAGGGGGCGCCAACTGCATGTGTTTTAACTATTTTGAAGAGTAATAACTTTTTGTCCGTACCTGTATATGACTATAAGTAAACGTATATGGTAAAGCTATGGTAAGCTAAACGTATATGGTAAAAAAATATACGTTTCCGCTATTTTCTACCTAAAAATGTCTCTTGAGAGGTTGTAGGAGTTATAGAGCTTTCGAGGTATCGCGGGGAATTTCGAGGAATTTTTCACGAAAAGGGAATTTGAGCGTACAAATTTTGCCAGTGATTTTCCCCTCGATATTTTTTACTCAGTAGTACGGACAAAAAGTTATTACATCTTCAAACCAGTTAAAAAATATGTAGGTGGCGGCATCAACAAGTAGGAGCATATTGTCATCAAAATCAAATTTCTCATATCAAAAAACTTCCAGACACCAATTTTCATCCAAATATCGATGTTAGTTCAGAAATCATTTGGAAAAAATCGAAATAAAAATGAAACTTCTACACCTTGTATCTCCGAAACTAAGCATATTACTACATACATTTATACGAACTTTTTTATTCATTTATATCTGCAGAATAAGCTGCCGAAGTTACCCGAATACAATTCGGACCACCCTATATAATAATAAAATATTAAATACCATGTGATAGTGATAAATTTTATATTGGTGAAACATCTAGACCCTTAAATGCTCAAATTAAAGAACATAAAGATTATTTAAGAAAGGGCGACTTTCACAAATATAAGATTTGTCAGCATTCATGTGATACAGGGTACAGAATAGATTTTAACAACGCCAAAACTATAATGAAAGAAGCGATAGCCTCTAAAAGAAAAATAAAAGAGGTTTTTTTAATGCAATCTAATAAAAATAAATGTATTGATCATGCATCTGTAGATGTCAGTAATGTATGGCAATCGCTTCTTTGATTTTAAAGAACATAACATAAATAAACATAACATACATAAAAATTAAAAACAAATTAAAAATAATCATACGGAAAGTTTTAAGCTTTTTGGTTTTACCTTATTAAGTAATTGCTATCAGATAGTATTTGTTATTTTTTTTAGAGAAAGTTTAACTTGATATAATGTCATTTTAACAGAACGTCAACGGTTTTTGTAGATGTATCGGTTTTAAAGAAACTAAAGTGGTTCTCGAATAGTTGCATTTAGATATTTTAAATATTTTTTTTTCTTTGTTCTTTGTGTGTTTTTTTTGCTTCCAACGGAAAGAGGTATACTTTCCGAAACGTTAAGCATTTTTTGTCCGTTAGGAAAATTTGTTTATTAGTTGACCATTGCTGACAATTAGCAGCAATTAGTCTCCGTTGGATTAACGCAGCAGTGTTTACAAAAAATAACTATTTTATTTTGTAGATTTTCTTGCAGTGGCGAAATACCCATAGAACTTTTTTGGAGAGATGAATCCTCCACATAGGTATAGACATTTTTTATTAAATATTTAGTTAAATTATTAAAAAAACTAAATTATTTAATTTATCAATAAAATTCATAAATGCTGTTCGAAATGAATTTACCTTTCAAAATCAACGTTAGTTTCTGGCCGTGGAAAATAAACACTCATGCTCTTTTGTCCAGGTGGCAGTGTAAATTGAACATGACCATTATGTGGGCAAGTAATGGACACATCAATAGTTTCTAAAAAAAGTATTTATAAACAAAAGCGCTCGTTCTTTAGGCCGGGTCCAGACCAAGCAGACAAAACAACGACAAGGCAGAAACATTCATGTTTTATGACAAAATTGCGACAAATCCAATACATTTCTGCGATATTTTTGTCTTATTTTTTGTTTTGTTTCAAAATTCGGAGACTTTTCAATGTCACGTCTCGAGTCGGTAACGATCAAAGTTGTCGGTAAAGTGTGGATGGCGTGTTTTGCCAACAGTAGGAGACCAGTGAAATCACACATGGTTAATAAAACTCATTCGCAACAACTGAACTTTTGACTTTGTTGTACTTTTGTCCTTGCGGTGTGGACAATTTTTCTCAAGTTTGTCTTATCAGAATTCCCCATTTTTTGTCGCAAGTTTGTCTTGTTTTTGTCTCAAAATCGTGTTAATTTTTGTCGCCTTGGTCTGGACCCGGCATTACAACTTATATGTTTCTATTATTACCTCTGACACACAATTTCTCTAGTACGTCTACTGGCAGTTCTCTAGACCAACTTAGATCTTCTCTGCAGATTATCGATTCTATGTTTTGCAATAGTCTATAACCAAGTCTACATTGGATAGAGCACGTCTCCCCTGGGTATATCTTGCCGGTATTGCAAATACCAGGCACGAACCATCCGGTGTTAAAACTGGGTAATCTAGGACAGTAGTTTGGTACCGCGGCTGCAATAATATTAATAATAATTATTTGTTTATAAAGATTATAGAATAAATTGGTCTGTTAAAGTAATTGCATATCCAAGAATGCGAAGAAAGCGACTTAAAAATATACAGGGTTGTCCGAATTGTATTCCGGAAACATCGGCAGTATATTCTGCAGATAAAAATAAGTAAAAAAGTTCATATAAATGTATGTCCTAAAATGCTTAGTTTCGGAGATACAGGGTGTAGAAGTTTCATTTTTATTTCGATTTTTTCCAAATAATTTCTGAAGTAACATCAATATTTGGATGAAAATTGGTGTCAGTCAAGAAAAAAGTTTTTTGATATGAGAAATTTAATTTTGATGCCAGTATGACTCCTATTTGTAGTGGGCGCCACCTACACATGCTTTAACTGTTTTGAAGAGTAATAACTTTTCGTCCGTACCTGTATAAAAGTACTAGTGAAAAAATATACATTTTCGCAACTTTTTACATAAAAAGTGCCTCTTGGTAAAAATTGCTACGAGTAACCGTTCTCAAGATATTTAGAATGGAAATAGTCAATTCATGTCATTATATTGACAAAAAATAAACACGTTGAGTAGATAGTTATTTGACTGAAATAATAAATTCGGGTATTTTTTTTTAAATTAATCATAAATTTTTCTGCGAAAAAATGATAATAAAACAGTTTCTATTGAACTTTTGGCACAAAAACATTTCAAACTTATGATTTCAGTCTAATAACTATTTAGCCACACAGCATGTTTAATTATTATGTCAATGATGACAGGTATTGATAATTTCGATTCCAAATATCTTGAGAACCATTACTCGTAGCGATTTTTCACAAAAGATCTTTTTTACGTAAAAAATTTCGTAAATGTATATTGTTTTACTCAGTAGTTTTATTCAGGTATGGACAAAAAGTTATTACTCTTCAAACCAGTTAAAAATATGTAGGTGGCGCCCTCTACAAGTAGGATTCATATTGACATCAAAATCAAATTTCTCATGTCAAAAAACTCCTAGACACCAATTTTCATCCAAATATTTACCTTACTTCATAAATTATTTGAAAAAAAATAAAAATAAAAATGAAACTTTTATACCCTGTATATCCGAAACTAAGCATTTTAGGGCATACATTTATATGAACTTTTTTATTTATTTTTATCTGCAGAAAAGGCTGCCGAAGTTTCAGGAATACAGTTCGGACCAACCGTGTATATTAGGGTGTACCCAAAAAAATATTTTTTTTTCTTTTAATTATACCGTGAAAGTATCATTCACGACGATGAAAAATATTCTAGTAAAGTTTGAGATCTTAATAGTAATATTAAGAGGTGTCTCATCGTGATTTTCTATTTCCCATTTAAATATCACGGTGAATTTTTTTTCGAAATGTTATTGCGTTCTGACAAATCAGCGTATTGTAAAAATAAATACATATTCTTGTAGGAAATTGAATGGTCATCAAAAAAGGTCTGATATGATTTTTTATTTAATCGACTCGTTTGAAAGTTAGCGAATGTTAAAATTCAACTTGAAATCGTATACGATAACTTCCACAATTTTTCATATTTTATCACGAATAAATGGCCGAAAAACATAAAATATCCTATTTTTCGTAAAGTTCATGATGTGTTCTTTGGTAAAACATTGAAAAATTACAATAATTATTAATTGTTGCTAATTACAATAATTATAAATCATCCTGGCTCAAAAATGAGTAGAAAATGTTTAGTGTGTGAAAGTTCTAATATAAAGGTTTCCGAATTATCTTTTCATAAGCAAGTAAAGTATTCAGTTGTTCTTTTATTTATATTAAGCCACATGCATACTTTCTGGTTAGATTTCCTAAGAATATTGATATTCGTACGGAGTGGCTAAGTGTATTTTTTATATAATTTAATTTTTGTGACAGTAAACATTCAATTTATTGTTCAGATATAAGCATTTTACAAATTAAATTTTTAAAATTAATGTTCAAATTTGGCGCGCGGACGATAGGTCCTCGACAAGGATAGATAGAGTAGAAGCACCGCGTGTGAAACAAAAAAAAGAAGATAAATGGAAGTCGTTGATATGTTTGCGACAGTTTTCATAGTGATTTACTTATCCATGTAAGTATACATATAATATGATATAGGGATATAATATAGTCTATCCAACAAGAGGATACATGACAGTGACGATTAGGTCAGTCGAAATGCTCTCTAACTTGTTTTATTACATTTTATATTATATTTTATATATATACATCCCTTACATTTTATATTTAGCTCCCAGCTTTTTACTTCCGGATATGAATTCCGAGATGAAGGATTGTTATAGAACAAAGACGGCTTTGCCGTTGTAAACAACTATTTTGTTAACACAAACAAACTAATATTTTGGGAGGTTGATGAGGTTGGGAGCATTGTTTGGAGAAGTGTGTGGTTTCGCTTGGATTATACAGAAAAATAAAATAAATTTTCAAAAAAATTCTATTAGAGCGATGAAACTTTGCGGATTACCCTCGTACATTTAATCCCCCCATTATTCGGTTAAAATATAATTATTAGCTAGTATTTGTTTCTCCTAGACGTTTCTGTGAGATATTTCTATAGTGTAATAATAAGAATCAGAATGCAATTCCACATTTTCCAGGATTTTTAAACAAAAACAAGTTATAGGCTGTTTCAAAATACGTACGGACACATTGTGCTTCTAAATTTTCCCATTGGCCTGCCTCGTTACAACTCCTTTGCCAATTTCCTCTGAGAGAAAATCCATCCTTGCACCATACATTACATTTAGTACTTGCCGGTACCGCTTCACCGTAGTCAGATCGATATCCTGGACATCTCATAACTCCGTTTTCTGGCGCTGCCGGTATACGACACTGGTACACCTCTCCTCGTTTGCATGTCTTCCTGTCACTTTGTAAAACGTATCCGGGTTGACAATCGCACCGAAAACTACCTATAATATTTTGCAGTCATACAGCGTCTAACAGCCAAAGGGAATAAATTTGATAATTGTATCATATGTATTAGTTAAGGATCTTCAATGATGAACTTGTAATTGAAGGTTAGTTTTTCTCCAAACGTAGATGCGACAATTAGGGTCATGAAAAAAACTATTTTGGCATACAGAAAATCAACTTGCAATAATTATAACGATTCTAAATATACAAACTATCTAAAAGGTTGAAAGGCGAAATAAGCAATTCAAATCTATATACATGGTGTATCTTGGAAATTACTGGAGCTAGAGAGTCGGTTAAATGGGAAAAGAATTGCAGTTTTCGGAATTTTGAAAAAGTTTATGGCTTACTAGATATTTTGAATAAACAACTTTCGGTTATTTTAAAAATGCTCCCTAATTCCATTATAATCTATTTTAGACAAAAAAATCAGGTAAAAGTTGTAGATAATCACATCCTTAATGAGATCGCCGTTTTTTTTCTAAAGTCTGTCATTTTTGACATATAACACAAACATATGTTTTTTATTCTAAATGGAAACCATAGTTGCTATGATTTCATAAAAAAATGCAGTTTTAAGCTTTCCAGCAATATAAGTTATATATAATTTTTTTTTTCGAAAAATTACTAAGTTATAGACAAACTCTTATTTTTTTTAAACAATTTCACTTAGTTAGCCAAGCAAAGAAGTGCAATCGTCCTTGCTCTCAGAGATGTGATTTTGTTCAAACTATCACATTCATACAAATATTATATAATAATTATGCAACTCAGGGATAGAAAGAGATGGACCATTTGCATAAGCCTTCTCGCTCACCTGACCTATCTGTTTTAGATTTTTCTATGCAGTATGGTTAACAACAAGGTTTACAGGAGAACTTATGAATCATAGGCATTCGCAAAGGTGGTACGGGAGAAGTCTAATAATGTTGAGGTTCTGTGAGAAAAGCTTGTAATTCAGTTTTAAAAAGATGCACTTTAAGTACTCAAGACAATGGCGGTTTTTTTGAACATTTGTTAAAATAATTAATTAAAGTGTATGTAGTAATACTAGTTTTTTAAGTTTTAATTTGTTTAATTCAAATTGTAAAGAACCGTTTAATAAAATATTTTGTCTTTTTTTAAGTTGTAAATCATAGTAAGATTAAGTATACCATGCCTACTAAGTGAAATTAGCCCAAAATGATAAGAATTGGCTATAACTCAGTAATTTTTAGAAAAAAAAACATATAGCTAATAACGCTGTGAAGCTTAAAAAATGGCGCTTTTTATAAGTCATGGCCAATTATGGTTTCCATTTAAAAAGAATATATATGTTTGTGTCATATGTCAAAAATGGCATGCTTTAGAAAAAAAAAACGGCGACTGTGCGATATTGCATATATTTACAGTCTGCGCAACATAGGCTGCCCCTAAAAATAGTAGATATTTCAAATACAATTCGAATGGAAAAATACGATGACCGATTCAGTTCAAATTGACACAGTCGTTGCACAGTGCACTGAATATGACAATCCACCTTTAAACGGTTTAAGGACAGTTAAAGTTTTTTACGACACAAATGACATTGAACGACAGATGAGTCACATACAGACCAAATGAAGGGTCCAGGGGAAAAGCATGATAAGCACCATTTTACTAATTTTACAGGAGAGCACTAGACGGTTGGTGGTTATCAGGTTCTTTCCATGTATTCTATATTTTTACTAGGCATATATCATAGAATTTAACAACTTATTGCCCTGCAGAGTTTATACATTTTGTAGGTATCAGTTAGACCTATTATATTATTGTAAAATCCTAAATTTAAGATATTGGCGCTTATGAAGTTTTTCTCCTGGACCCTTCAAATAATTTGATGACGATAATGATATTTTTCAAGAACCATGATATGTAATAATACAAAAATTCCAGAAACAAGGTTAGAAATCGGAATACAGCCAGAGATATACAGCTTAAAAACAATTCTATATAAAGGGGACTTTGTCTGTGATGCAGTATACAGCAATTATGTTAATATAGTAAACGCCACGAATGTTTGGGAGTGATTCATCGCTTGATGAAGTTAGAATCGACACGCGCGCTATCATTTATACATTAAATCCTAAATTTTTACCGCAGACGTAGGTTTTTAAAGGCCCGGTCTAATCATCTGCCTGCGCTCCTCCTACTTATTCTAAAATGTTAGCGTGATTAATAAAGACGACATTATATCGCGTTTCTTTGATTGATTCGTTTTTGTGCGTCAGTCCATTGGTGTGCTTGCAGTGCGACCAATGGGGCCTTTGAATAAGAAGACTAAGGAAGGACCATATCAAAAATCTTAGGTACACCGCGATGGCCGACTTAAATTCCGGTTTATCAGTGTCGTTCTAATTTTATTTAAAAAATGTAAAACTATGATGTAGGGTAGACGTGGGGTAGACTCAATAATTTGTTGTTTTATTTTACGTTGTGAATAAATGTTGGTAGTTATTAAAATTGTTATAAAAATATAGAATTCTAATAAAAATAGACAAGTTATAATAAGTATTTATTAACACAAACATCCGATACGCTACTGAAGCAGGTAAGTCAAATTAACGTATCTAAATTCTTTGACATCTAATCTTTGACAAGTAATAAATAAAAGCTAAAATGCAAGAAAAATATATAATTTAGTTAATTTAAGTGAACTTCATAAATGATCGGTTTACTACACGTATGTATATTATATAGTCACTTACTAGCGAAAAGTTGTTCCATTATTTCACTTAATTTTTGCCGAGATCTACCGCACGCTACGCAACCAACTATTTTAGAGTCTTTTTCGATAAATCGCGATAGTGTCACTGTTAATTTAAGTTCTGCCACAATTTCCATCTAGATTTACTACCTTTATACAACTATCAGTAGTAGAATAAATAATAAATAATATAAAATAAGCTCCATAAAGACTGACAAATCCACAAAATTTCAAATCAAATTCAAATGTGTCAAATGAATCGCCAAACAGAACTGTCAATGATCCCCACCCTAGAGAGCTTTTATGGAGCCTTTTCCGCCCACCATGCATGAATACATGGATAGCATTATGCTCCTTCCTTAGTCTTCTTATTCAAAGAATGGGGCATTCCATTTTATATTTATAACCAAATATATGTTTTGACAAGACTTTGACAGTTAAAACAACAAATTACAACAGATTATATATTGATTATTATATGACTTGAAACACCACGGCACTGGAATTAAGTTTTATGTGACCTTGAACAGATTAGTTCACATGGTATACTCTGTTTTTTTTCTCAGGTAAGATGTCGACAGACGATGACAGAAGAAAAGCAGATGACGTCCCATACCAATCTATTTATTTTACTAAAAAAAGTTTCTAATAATTTTTAAGTTAACTATGGATGGGTTTAAATATAAATCCGTCATGCGTCGTTTCTTGTTGTTTTTAACCAGTTTTATTGGTTTATTTAAAAAATGACAGATCGTATTTCAATTTTATTGGTTTGACGGAACGATGAACGACAAACGGATGCCGATGCGTATGAACTCGCCTTTAGATTTTTGACGCTTGTCAAAGTCTTGCCAAATTAGAGGTTCTAATTTTGTGTCAACTTTTGTCAAATACCCTGCGTTTTGGAAGATGATGCATTTTGATTCGTGTTATTACATGTGTTTTGTGTCTTTTGAAGTCAAGTGGAGGAAAAATCGAGTGAAAATTAACTGTAGACCCAGAACACAGTTTATGGTTAATACTCGCTGCCCAGGCAAAAAGTCTTATACACCAATAAAGTTACCATCATTAAAGTTCGTATACCATCTCGTCGTAGATAAGTGCATCTCGAATATGGTAGAAGGACCATACTAAACACATGCTAAAAACTGGAGTAGCTGTAAAATATCGACATCACACGTTACGTAAATAATGGATTTTAGTACTGCACAAGAAAAATAATGCCAAAGGTACTGGTTTAAAAAATTAAGATTAAATTTAATTAATCAACCTTTTAGGTACCTATAAAATTTGGTAAGTGTTATTAATAATAAAATAGTTTGTTTTATTTATGTTGTTTTGTTTATTCCTTGTTTTGTATTAACACATACCGTTTTTTATTAAAAAACTCAATTACATTTTTTCAGTTTTATACAGTTTTTTTCACAATATTTTGAAGTAATCCCTTGTCAGTCAAATTTTAAATATAATAATTTCCTGCTATGCGTTCCAGTTGTACCAACTTATTTCTTTGTAAAATAAAATAAACTACTTTGAAATTAAAACGACAGACGCATCTATCACTGTCAAGGATCTTCTCGTTGGACAGACTATAGCGACCGATGAATCACTCCCAAACATTCGTGGCGTTTACTATAACAATTTTATTTATACCTTTATAATTTTTGCATGTTACTTCACATCCGCCATTATTGACTTGACATTCATCGATGTCCTCACACGTACGGTTGTCGCTTCCCAATCCAAAACCTCGTGGGCACAGGCACTGATACGATCCTGGAGTATTTTGACATCCGTGTGAACAGCCTCCACGATTTTGCTTGCATTCGTTAATCTCCTTACACACTCTCTTGTTGGGGCGCAGGATATAACCAGAAGGACAGCTACACTCTTTAACACCTTAACGATAAGAGACATAGTGAAAAATATTTTTTATGGTAAAAATAACGAGAATCTACGGTTAATGTTAAGGTGCGTTTAGATAAGGGTCGAGAGTTTAATCAAGGGTCGATTAGAACCCAACTCTGCACGTGGATAGAGGTACCCGAATGGAGTCCTCAGACGGACAGACAGATTTTAATACAAATTTTGCGAAAGTGAATCAAATTAAAAATATTTATTCATTTTTAATTTATTAGATAGTTTTTCAACATTTCAAACTACACTTTTTCAAATATGTCCTTCAAATCCTTCAATTTAATAGCTGTTAGTAAGAAGTTTGACTTCAAATATGCACATAGTGCACATACAATTTTTTTAAATTTATTTTTAAAAATATAAAAGGGATCAATTAAAATAATGCACATAATTTAAGCAATATCACAAGAAACGCAATACACATATTTTTATCTCCCTGTATGATAATATTCAAACGGCTACTTTAGGGAGATCGAATGTATTGACCTTTCCTTACCTCATAATTCAAGTTTCAACTTTTAATATGCTGAAATCGTGGTTTTACCATTGCTTACTCATGATAATATTTTTGTTAGGATTACACCTTTTATTAATGCACAAGAAGAGAAAACTGTGAGAGAAAACAACAGAAGAGCTTATTCAAGTAAACTCATCAATATATGCTAAGACAGTCAGGCGGCACTTGGGACGCTTATGAGCCCAAAGGTATCAATGAGACTCGTCTGGGAATGCCTGGGTGAACTAGGAGCTCTGGCACGAAGGAACAGAATTAAGTTATTCTGGGTGCCAAGCCACAGAGGCATCCAGGACAACGAAAAATCCGATGAAATAGCTAGGCAAGGATCATCGGCATCCTATCTATCTATGTCCAGAGCCCGTACCGGGAATACTCAAATGTATGGCGCGTAGTGTACTAAAACTCTGGATCAAAGAAAAGCAGAATGTCCACTGGAGAAACCGACAGTAGCACAGGCATAGTAAGGCCTTTATCCAACGACCTAGCTCTAAAACCACAAAGGAACCATACATTATCGCCGCGAATCATCCTGTATAATAATCTTTATGGATAATTTATATACACACATACCATCAACGTTGTTACAATAATGAGAACATTCTCCATTATTCTTCTCGCATGGATCTTGGTCTAAACATTTTTTATCAAACAGTTTATATCCAGGAGGACAAAGACATTTGGCTTCTCCATTGTCAACCGTGCATCCATGAGAACATCCTCCATTGTTAAAAGCGCACGGATCTTTCTTGAAACAGGTTTTATCTGAAAAAATAATGAATTAAAACTGTGTTAATTACACACCTTCGTTTTTTAGTATTATGAAATATCACTGAATAACAATAAGTAATACCGTATGATCGAGAAAAAACGGCGTCAGCGATGGCTATGGAATGAAGATCGCTGTCATTTTATATGTAAATTTATATGGGAAATGTCATCGATGTTTATTTCCCAGCCAACTGGACGCCGTTTTTTTTCGATCATACGGTATAATAGTAGTAATATCTGGTAGTATACACGCTAAGTACATTACATACAGCGGCGTAACGTCGATAATAAACTAGTGAGAGTGATGAAACGAAAGAATTTCTAAAAAAAAAAGAGAAATGAAAACCGAGAGCAGCATACATAGAATAAAATACACAAAATTATGTAAGAGAATAAGAAAGAGGATTGCAGAAGACATCAAAAACTACAATGAAAAACTTAAAAGTACGTAAGTGCCAATTTCAATCGAACAGAGAAAAAGCTATAAGAACGCTAAGAAATTCCTCATTATCGGAAAGAAGCAGCTATTCGCATTAACATACAACAATATCAGAATTACAGACAAAAACGAAATAATAAGCCTGATAACAAAATTCTAGAGTAACCTATATTAAGGCCCAGAAAACATACAGTCTGACAAACGGATCTGAAACAACGGGGCAACGGCAAGGGGATCGCAATTTTCTAAAATCATGGCCGATTTCATTCATAAAATATCCACGAGCGTGCGGGGTTTCATAAAAATATATCAGGAATTTTTATAATATTTTTCAGTAAAGTTTATAATATTATTTTACTTTAAATGTACCTACATTTTGTTTAGTCATTTGCCAAATATAGTAATATTTGTTAAAACGCGTGTACTAATTACAATAAACACAAATCAAGTTAAAGATATAAAACACAATACAATAACACCGCCACTGGATTTTTCAATAGTAGTGACTGTTTCTACTATTCCTAGAGAGGGGCATAAAGTTGGGGGTAATGGCGAGAAGACGTGCGAGAATCTCGACCAATCAGACTGATTGAATCCGGGATGCCATGATGAATTTTGTCAGCGTTGCCAGCTTACTCTAAGCGGACCTTATCTTAAGGAAATACTTTACCTTTTATAATAGGCAGAATGAACGAAATCAGTTAATTAGATAAATATACATTATTACAATAAGAACTACGTCAACATATTAGCATATATATAATTATGTATGCTGAAATGAACTAAAATATATTCAATTTATAGGTAATATCGAGCAACTTTGCTTTTCTATAATTAAACGTGACAACATCGACTTTTTTTGCCCGCATTCCTTCCTCTGTTTTAGATTCGTTTGTCAGATATTAGAAATGTGCTAGATGTGCCAGAAGTTACACATCAAAGTTGTGTGTTTTTTTTTGTAATGGTTAGGTTAAACACCAATGACTAAAGAATAAGGACATGTAACGCCCCTATACGGGCTGCAGCAGAATTTGTGACCTTTTTTTTTGTTTTGGTGGCAAACAATGAGTCATCATTTGGTCACCAGCGACAATTTTAGCGATTTTGAATAGTTTGTGTGTAGTAAACTTTGTATAAACTTTATTACAATGGTGATTAGTTGTTCAGCTTTCAAGTATAAAAGCAGCAGCGATAAGAAAGAGCCAGGAGTTACGTTTCATAGGTAAATAAACAGTCCACTCCAACTTTTTAGCGTTTTCTTATTGAATTCGATAATTATTCTTCAATTTCAATTAACATCTATATGTACTTGATATGTGCTATACGTCGATACTAGTTTTGTACCTTTTGTTAACATTTTAATACGTTTTTTTCGTAATTAATTAGGATGATACACCATAGGCGTAGTCAAAACAATTATCAAAAAATATAAATATTGCTTCAAACAGCTAGGTTAAGAAAAATATGTGCCACGGCACTGTTTGGTGTCATCGTCACAATTTGCTCTCGGGTGTTATTTTTCCTTGGATTCTTTAGTCATTGTTAAACACCCTATATATTAATTGATTTTCGGATTCTAGAAAAAAAACAAAGGTGAGTTTTATAAAAGAAGCATATACCTAAAAACAGACCTAAAATGTAAGGATTTTGACATATTTCACATTTTGTGAAAATTTTAAATTTCAATAGCAGCTACCTAAATTTTAGTTGACCTTGTATAGCCTGATATCTCGTGATATTTAATTTATTACCCTAGATGATATATACCGTATGATCGAATAAAAACGGCGTCCAGTTGGCTTGGAAATGACGATCGATGCCATTTCCTATATAAATTTACATATAAAATGACAGCGATCTTCATTTCATAGCCATCGCTGACGCCGTTTTTATTCGATCATACGGTACTTATGTGGATAAATCAACGCCATAAGTTTAGCATTAAAAATATATATCCCCAACATCACGACATGCCATTTTCAAACCTTCTTTATTGCACTTATGAACGTTCAATAGGTTTGTCTTTCTCGAGGATCTGACTTTACGCATGCGCATTAAAAGTGGAACGTATTTCCAAAATAATTACAATTTTATCCGGTTTAGAAAGTACAAATTATACATTGTTATGGAAACCAACTTTTCATTGTCATCGTATTGTCATAATCTTGTCATAATCATGTGTCATAATCATTGCCTGGAAACTTATATGGTGAAATTTTGATAAAATAATTTAGTACACACTAAAAACACGGTATGTCGCTAGTGGTAGGAAAAATAATTTTTAGAGGTTACTAGTTTATTTGGTTGCCTGTGATATGAATATACAGGGTGTTTCCTAATTAATCTAAAAAATAAAAAATCGTTAGAAAACGAATTAAGGCGGGCTCTTAATAAGTATATTTATTTTTTTCTCGACAACCGTTCGATGAACAAGAAAACCTCAAAAGATCAATTTTGTTGAAAAAGGATGGCCAGTCAAGAAAAAAATATATTTTCTTTAAAAAAGCAGTGGTGTACCATTTATGTTAAGCAAAAAATCGATTTTTTTTAATTTTTAACACCCTGTAGATCAGATGTAGATCAGAAAGGAAGTACTTTAGACCCAATGGTTATATAAAAATTGTTTTAAGAACACATGAGGAATCACACCATAATTTTTTTAGACTAATTTGAAAACACCCTGTATATTGTCAACTTGACAATGACTGCTGATAAATCAAAAAATACCTTTTCAGTGAAAAAAGCCTGATTTTCGCAGGAAAAATTTTGATTTTTATTGAATTTGGGCCTGCGTTTGCAAATACTCGTTTGTTATTTAATTTTCTATCTATCTAAATTTTAAATATCATAGTCAGAAATAGTTTTATTATTTATTAACTGTAAAAATGGTGTTTTCTTGTTGTATTGCATCTTGTAAAGAAACTAATAAAACTGCAAAAATGTACGTGTTTCCAAAAGACGATAAGGTATTTATCTTAGATAAAAGAAAAATATATGGTATGTATTCGTTGTTTGATTTTTTTTTTCGTTCGCTTTAAAATCTATAAATCTCGGTCTATTCATTAGACAGCCAGTCGACTTACGATCATTTACATGAAACTCTGTAAAATAAATAAAAAAATAAATTGTAGAGTATATATATTCTTACGTTTTATTAAAGTTACTCTGATATACTAATATATCAGTGTAACTTTAAAAATAAATCCTTTGAATTCAAATATAAACATAAAAAACATTTACAGCAGAAAAGGCGAAGGCGCTGGGTTAAACGTAGTCTCCACTAAAAACACGGAGGGGCGCTTTGTCCCAAAATTTTACTATTCAGTTTCATATCTATCTTAATAGTAGATTATTTTCTTTTATCTATGGTCATAATGTTATTTCCATTGTGTAACGACGCTTGTTTGTTGCGTTTTTCATTTTAAACATTGTATTGACATTGTATTAATTACTCTTTTATCGACCGCTTTTATATAGCCAAGGATGCAAGTGTGTTCAGTGAGAAGTTAATTTTAAGTTCGTGCAATTATATTTCTATTTTTTACTAGTTGGGTTTTAATTTTTGGGTAAATACTCGTAAAAATGACAAGAAAGTGTTTGGTGTGTTGAAATTATAATATAAATGTCCCCGAATTATCTTTTCACGGTCAAGTAAAGTATTCAGTTGTTCTTTTATGTATATTAAACCACATGCATACTTTCTGGTTAGATTTCCTAAGAATATTGATATTCGTACGGAGTGGCTAATTTATTTTTTATTTAATTTAATTTTTGTGACAGTAACATTCAATTATTGTTCAAATATATGCATTTTACAAATTAAATTTTTAAAATTAATGTTCAGATTTGACGCGTGGACGATAGGGCCTCGACAAGGATAGATAGAGTAGAAGCACCGCGTGTGCAACAAAAAAAGAAGATAAATGGAAGTCGTTGATTTATGGTTGATATGTTTGGGACAGTTTCCATAGTGATTTACTTATCCACGTATGATCTAGGTTTATTACAGTAACTCACAGTAACCATTGTATGTTAAATCAAATTAAAATTTGACCCGAAAAGTTATATAGGGTGGGATAAAATTAATATAGAACATTAATCACTTTTAAAAGCAAGTTACTCCTTTATTTCAAATGGAACATTCAGTATATTATTTCGGTGTTCAATAGCGAATTCATATATCTTCAAAATTTTATTAAGGTTGCCTAGATATTTTAATTTTTATGATTTTACGTCAGTAGATCTTTATTATTTGAAAAGAATCTAGGGTGGCTGTAATATACCTTTTGCTAATTTAACAAAAAAAGGATGCAGGGTAAAATACTCAACGGTAATAAAGAGATACACCTTTAAAACATATTTTAAGTATTACAGAATTAAAACTAGATATAAACCTAAAATTATGTGACAACAATTAGTTAGATGAAATCAAATGCTCAAAATGCTTCCTTTCCTGTAACTGCAGAAAATGATTGTCTTTTGAAATGAAAATGATTGTCTTTTAAAATGAAAGATCTTTTCATTTTAAAAGGCATATCTGGAGTTCTACCTCGAAAAGCAGCTACAATTATTTCTCCCATGTTGTCAACAAGACTTAGTCAAGTTTTGTAAACACTGTCTGTAAAATCGGGAGCATTTAAGTATTCTATTAATTGGCGAATGCGCACTGCATTCACCAACTAATAGAATCATATCAGTTCTTCCTGATGTAGGATAAGTTTGCATTTTCGGAAAATTTCTGATAATTTATTTTGTTTTAACTAACACAAAATGATAACTAGTTGTTAAAGTTGGACTAATTAGACAACTATGTTGAAGTAACATCGGACATATCACAAGCCGCCTTGATTTTATCAACTAATAACGATCTACTGACTCTAAAAATCATCTTACAGTGCCATACTCTATACAGAGCGTCGGTTACCTCTCGCATGTACCTGTGATGACACACATCAGTGTTTCACAAACTACTTTTGTGAAAGTACAAAAGTACAAAATACTGATTGCGCTACGGCCGGCCACTATCTAAATCATATAAATGAAAATATCTAGGAAAATCTATGTTTGAGGGGTAGGCAACCTTAATAGTATTTTGAAGAGATATGAATTCCCCATTGAATATCCAAATAATATACTCCATTTAAAATAAAAGAGTGACTTGCTTTTAAAGGTGACTAATGTTCAATATTAATTTTGTGCACCCTGTATAACTTTTTGGATTAATTTTTAAGATGATTTAAAGTAATTATAGTAATAACAATAGTTAATTTAACTACATATTAGGCTATACCGGATAAAAATTCCAATTTAGCTAGCTTTTATTGCAATTTAAAAATTGCTCTTTATTTTTAGAAAATGTTAAATATGTCAAAAACTATACATTTTAGTCATATACTTTTCTTATAAAACTGACTTTAATTTTTCTTTTAGGGTGTTCCATTACAAAAAAACACAACTGTGATGTGAACTTTTTTGGGGGACACCCTATAGAACTCTCTATATTTTTAAAAAGAGCTCTGAATTAACCAACATATGCTTACAAAATTTCATTTCAATTCAAACTGTGTTCCCCTTGGAGTCTCCGCGTCGTATGAGAGGCGCCACCCTGTATACAAAGAAGACCAAAGCAACAGTAATGATATATAAAACAACCCCAGAGTTCCCAACTGGCAAAGGGGTATGACAGGGAGACGCGATACCTCCAAAGCTGTTTACAGCAACACTATTATAGAAGAAATCTTCCGTCAACTGGACTTTCGTATTCGTGACTCGGGATATAAATGATGAGCATTGAAACTATCACGATTCTAATAGTAAAATTGTATCTCCAAATAAATGTCTGACAGTCTTACCGATAAGGTCATGATCTGGAGGACACTGACATAAAACCTGTCCATTAATGGCTGTACAAGAATGTGAACATCCTCCATTATTGTCATCGCAAGGATTAATTATTATGCAGTTCTTTTCTTCTAGTTTGTATCCACTAGGGCAGTAACATTTCACACCTTCAGCATCAAATTCGCAATCGTGAGAGCATCTATATAAAATGAAAAATAAGTTATCAAGTACAAAGACATTATTTATTTACTCACCCTCCGTTGTTGATTAAACAGGGGTTTATTCGTACACAATTCTTTTCATTGATCAAATCAAAGTGGTCAGGACAATAACATTTGGCTGCATTATTTTCGTTTTTGCAATAATGCGAACATCCTCCGTTTTCTTTAGAACATGCATCTTCTACAAATATCATTAAAATTATTAAAAAACATATTTTTAAACGGTTTAGTAAATCTCGATTTTAATAGAGAATTCCGATTCAATGTAATTTTAGGGTTGGAATTTAAAGAAAGAAGGAAGAAAAGAAATAAATACAAGGTAAATACTATTATTGAGAGAGAGAATACCAATTGTTTCGGTATTTTTTCACTGTTATCTTGTTATTGAGGATTTTAAAGAATCAAAGAAGAATATTTAGAAAAAATTACTTTTGTATAAGTTTTCAATAACGTATTTTTTATAATTAGTTTTAGGTATAATAAATATTTTCTTTATCGAGATTGGCCCCTCCTAAAAATATTTGTAATTAATTATGAAACACCCTATAGGTAAATTTTAAATACTTAAGTCTAATTTATTTAACGCATTACCTGCAATACAGGTTCGATTGTCCTCTTCTAAAATAAAGTTTTCCGGACAAGAACAAACAGCTTTTCCTAGCACATCTTCACAGTAGTTACTGCATCCTCCGTTTTCCACGTAACATGCGCCTATCTGCATGAAAAAATACCAAAAAGTATAGTAGTAGTTTTTATATTCATTTTCTAAGCTAAATTCATTCTATGATAGTTATAAATCACGCTATTTTGTGCCTTTTTGTGATATAAGTATTTTTTTTTACTTAAACGTCTTTTAAACAGCCTCTACACTATCCCCGAAATGTTTTACGAAATATATCGCGAAACATTTCGCAAAACATTTTTGGAAATAGGACGATAAATATAAGCCCGTGTTATAAAAATTAGTTCCCACGTTTCCTGAAATAGATCGACACCCGCGAAGCAATCAAAGTCAAACTTTTTGGTGGCTTCAGAAAAATAAGTAAACATGGAAAACTGATATGAAAACAGTAATTCCTCAAAGGTTACACAAGAATGTTTAGTTTTAATCATTGTCTAATATTATTAATTACAATATAGCAAAAAAATATAAAACAGTGACTAACGGTCTACACTTTATCGGCTTATAATCCACGGTATTGCGCCTCATGAACAAAATATACACAAATTTATTTAAAAAGCCGTCTAGTTATTTGTTATTTCTGGTTATGGTAAAGTAACATTTATACTGTAGTCTGTAGCAAAGTTTATTTTACGAATTTGGTTTTGTTTTTCTAGTTTTAATTGTCTAGTTGAATGTATTTATATCAAACCATGCTGAGTGCTAATAAAAGTATCGTTTACATATTTCTCTTAAGAACAATAAAGGAACATTTTTTTTAAAACATGTCCGTGGACCATACTTTTGTTGACATTGGGTCAATGAATAACTTTCCCAATCAGTTCAATATATTGATAATTTACAATTTGATTTGATTTGATTGAATGCAACCAATATTACTCATCAAGCAATACAACTCTTATATTAATCAATTAACCGTAAACAAACATATCATATACAATTTTATATACTAACTAGCGTGTACCCGCGACTTCGTTCGCTTCGGATTAATCATTTCTATGGTGATTATAAAGCAAAGCAAGAATTTCCATTAATATACAAACTTATTTTAATTAGATATAGATATTAGTATAGATTCATTATAATAAAATTAAATCATAAAAATATAGTAAATTGTATTCCTGCAGTTTAAGTGAAAAGTTTTGTTGTTAAATATCTACTATACATATTATAAACGCGTGTTCAAATATTAATTTTGTGGAATATATATCAACATAAAACAAGATGTAATTAACGAAATATCATCGTAACAATAGCTATTTTAGAAACGTCTAGGTTTACTTATTTCACTGAGATTTATGAAAAAAAGTCTTTTGCCTTGGGTACAGATACCGCCACGTTTTCGAGCTCAAAAATGGATAAATTGCTAGAAGTAGGTGGCTCTTTTGGATAGCTCAAAACGAAACAAAATTGAACGAGGCAACAAGAAACGCTAAAGAAATCCCCCCACGTCCTTCTCACGAATAGTTTTCTCCATCAATTTTATGCTACTTTATCATTAATGCTACTCTTAAAATATAAAAGTTAACAGTGCAGTTCCGCGGATAGGGATCGATATTCAGTAGAATCTACATCGAACAGTACCGGCACGCATATTTGCAAACGACGTCCATGATCGCGATTCGGTTCTAGGCCGAACGATACCGCGTAAACAGCATACGATATTGCAATTCCGGTAAATAGCATCCGTGATTCCAAATTTTAACTGCCTTAACACCTCTTATAAACACCAGACGATATCGCGAAATTTATTAATGGGTTGCTCGTAATCAGCATTCGGGATCGCAAATTTAATTTGTGAACACAAACGAGCTAAAAATAAAAAAAGGTTTTTTTCAAGCGGCCACCCCTTCCAATAACAACCACGCATATTGCTGTTTAATTTTGGTGATCGTACGAAAAAATACACGTTGACGTACTGTTTATTCATAAAAAAATCATTATTATAGAGGACTATAATGTAAAACCTAAAATAGTGTCGAGAAATCAACAGAAAATAGATTCCCAGATGTTCATCCAACTTACGTATGAAAATTACTTAAAACAATATAGAGATATAATATATTTTCCACAGAACTCAATATAAGTTTCTAATACCTAATTTTTCTTAAAAAAAATGAGTCCTTAACTATAAAAAAATATTCAAGAAGGAACTAAGTTACAATCTTCTTGTACTAGAAAAAGTCAAAGTTTACCTGCAAAAATACCGTATGATCGAGAAAAAATGGCGTCCAGTTGGCTTGGAAATGACGATCGATGACATTTCCCATATAATTTTACATATAAAATGACAGCGATCTTCATTTCATAGCCATCGCTGACGCCGTTTTTATTCGATCATACGGTACTACAGAAAGTGTAGTTTTTATTTTAAATTTTCGAAGTGGAGCTGGGTCATTCTCTAAGCATTGGGTAAAATTTTCTAAAAATTTAAAACATTCTGTAACTTTATTCATTTCAATTTTTTGGTTTCAATTTATATCTGTTTTTTTGTAGTTAAGTTAATTTGTTTTGAGTAATTACTCTTGTTAATTTCTGTAACTTACCTCAATTTCTTCCTTTTCAACGAAACTGTTCTAATAATTTCTTTATCTATTAACTTATATACTGGTGATTTGAAGCAATTATTTTTGTTGCAAAATATTATTTACCATTATTATATTCTTTGGTAGACATGTTGGACTTGCGAATTTTGCGATCTTGAATGCTGATTACGAGCAACCAATCAACAAATTTCGCGATATCGTCTGCTGTTTAAGAGGAGTTAAGGCAGTTAAAATTTGGAATCACGAATGCTATTTACTAGACGGATTTGCGATATCGTATGCTGTTTACGCGGTATCGTTCGGCTTGGTTCGGCCTAGAACCGAATCGCGATCATGGACGTTGTTTACAAATATGCTACCGTAACTGGGGGAGAGGTCCATGGATTCGTATCCATGCGCACCTACTCATCTCTATTATCTGTCTGAATGTAAAATCTGACTATACCTACTTTTATCATTGAGCATAACTTATAAGCTTTACTTACTTTGTTACAATTTTTCCCTGTGTTACTAAGACTGTAACCCGTAGGACATGAGCAAACCACGATATTATTTGATAAAGCGCATGTGTGACTACAACCGCCATTGTTTTCTTCACATGGATCCTTTAAGATACAATTTTTAAAATCACTTAATTTATGGTTTTCCGGACAACTGCATTCAATATTGCCGTCTTCATCGGATAAGCATTCATGTGAACATCCTCCGTTATTTACCAGACACGGATCTTTTTTATAACATTTTTTACCTTCCAAGTAATAATTATCTGGGCAGCTACAGCTCATTTCACCTAAAATACAATTCTTTAATAAACAATCCTTATTCCATAAATTCAGTTTCTAATTTAGTTACTAATCTTTCTAATTCAGTTTTTCACTAATTTTGATTTTTGTTTAAATTATATTAAACCAAAAAAAAAAACAACAAAGAGCATTTTCTGGAAACCCAGTACAACATTTTGCGCACTAAAACAGTTTGATTTTGTCTCATAGATAGAACCTCTGGATAGAACAAACATTATAAATCAAATTCGAGAGTTCTTAGTCAAGTTTTATTGCATGTTAAGCACATTATTTTTTCAATTTCAAAAATATATTACACATGTACTTTCTTTCCAATAGTTTTATTAAAAATTGATAAAATATACACAAATGTTAATATGTCTATCACTTCTAAGTTAGCCGGCAACGGCCCAGCTACGTCGAAACACCGGTTCCCATTAGAACACCGAAGTTAAACGACGTAAGGCGATACTAGTGGATGGACGCGTGACTGGTTCGAAACTCTGTATCTTGGTGTTGTCCAAAAAAGGCAAAAGTGTAAAATCTATTGACACACACTGCTCATTCACGCCGGTTCGAGGCCGGATGAGATCGGATATCTCGTGAGTAAGAGTCGATTTAGACACTTGCCAAGTCGGTAGGCCATTGACCATGATATGACCGAGGACCGCGGCTCGGATTCCGCGTAAACAAAGTAGGCCCCATCCAGATTAGCCCTGGCAGCAAAAAGGAGACGTTAACTGAAATCTTTACTTTACTTTTACTTTTCTAAGTTAACCATGCAATTCGACAACATATTTTATATACCGGGTGGTGCATCGTCGCCGTCGTTGAAAACATTGGAAATTCCATGTAAATTTTGAGTTGTCCAGATAGGGGAGCCAATGCTCACCTACTAATTTTATAGCGAAGTCGTAAATAGATTTTTTAAGGTCTACGTTTGGTAAACACGCGTGCCAAATTTGAACAATTTTGGACAAGCCGATTTTGAGTAATTTGACAAAAATTGAATCGATTTTTAAATAATAATCAAACACCAGTCAAAAACAGGCATACTTAAGTTGTCAACATCATTTTCAAACGTAACTTAATTTTAATAAAATTTTAATATTCAGTACTAGTAATAATAATTTATTGTTATACACATAAAGAAAAAGTAAGCATGATAAAATGGCACTACGCGGGAAATAGCTTAGACAGTGTATCTAACGTGAGTCGGTTTATTTCTCCCGAATATTAAAATCAACCTATTAAAATTAAATAATTTTTGACATTGACAAAATCCATCACAAAATCATAGTTTGTAACATGTTTGTAAACCTAAGGTATGTCAGATTTTGACTGGTGTTTGATTGTTACCTGTTCGGTTTTAATTTAATAATAGATGCAATCTTTTTTAAATTACTCAAAATCGGCTTGTCCAAAATTGTTCAAATTTGGCATGTGTATTTACCATACATAAACCTTTTAATAAATTTATTTATGACTTTGCTGTAAAATCAATAGGGGAGCCAATATTTGAACAGTTCAAAATTTGCATGGGATTTCCTATGTTTAAAAGGACGCGACGATGCACCAACCGGTATAAAATTTTGACACATTGTAATAAAGTTCATAAAATTTCTGGGCCACCCTGTATATTATATTAATATTATACTAGAATAATAGAGACTTGATTCTCTTGTAATAATGACAGGCAGGGTATTTTATTGTTAACTCATTATTGTAATGAACTTCATTAATGTTTCTATTGTTGAATTAAATAAGTTAAATATTTAATTGCCATTTTTGTAAGAGAGTTTTGATCGGTTTTGGTCGCCTTGGTTCGGTGCGAGAAACCGAGACGTTTGCGCCGCTCTCCCTACCAGTGCAGGTTGAGTGGAGGGGAGCGTAGTCGAGTACCTCGGCAGTACTCATGGTACAAAGAATACAAGGTATGATATTGCGCAGGTTGGTCGCTACGTCACAGGTGATAACAGGCGCTATTGGTCAGCACACTCCGCGCGCCAGTTCAAATCGTCAAGATATTGTTATAAACCTGTTTTTTTGTTTATATACCGTCATTGAATTATCGCTAAGCAAGTTACTGTGGAGCAGTGCGTAAGGAGTCGGGCTAGGAAGCGAAAGACCGGAGTTCGAATCTCGGCCGGGACATAACTTTTTATTTATTTTTTTAAATACTGTTGTATTCTATAGTTTATTTTTGTAGTATAAAAAAAGAACTATTTATTCTGTGATTTTTTAATCTCCGGTATTAATATAAATTAATTGTTGATACAATACCTCATTTACTATAAAATAATATTCTACTTTTTGAAATGTATCGGGCCCTAATTGTACCTAAAAGTAAAATATATTTTTAGTGATATACCATATTGTAAACTATTTAATATTTCAGTCACTTAAAAAGTTAATTTGCATTGAATAATTGCCTACCATTAAAGGAAATTTGAGCTATATAATCCTTGATGGGCATCTTCCTCTAAATTTTGGGTTTCGTTCAACCGATTTATTCTCAAAACCTGAAACATCTACATATAAAAAGCACAGGTCACTAATTATAATAAACTTCACCCTTGGAATTACTTCCACTAATTATAATAAACTTCACCCTTGGAATTACTTCTATCACAATTACAATACATTCATCTGCATTGGCATTTTCTACTGTTCGATGGGAAACAATAAACTTTCCAACATTTTTTAAATGATGTAACAATTCCTCTTGTGGTTACTTTTCCATAGATATCCTCATCTCTGTCCTCATGTGAATTCAGAGGCAATGAACATGAAAATTATTTACCATAAACATCGCAAACTAAAACCTAATAAACAATTTTATACCGAATATAGAAATAAATTTAGTATTCTTACCTATTATCGTCCAAATCCATGTTAATAGATAATTATTATTTTTAAATGTATTTTTGGAACTGATGGTTTTGGTAATTATTAAATTAAACGAACTAAAAAGTCTTAAAAATAAACAATTCTTAACCATAACCCCAAAAAATACAGATCTCCTGTCAACTTTCTTTATTTTGTATTTATTCATTATTTTCCTAGTGACGTCACAGGTGGTATGCGCGAACTGAACGAAATTGGAGCCGCTATCGATCATACCTTGTATTCTTTGTACCATGGGCAGTACTGGCACTACAGAGTTAGTTGTGTGGTCGCACGTGAACAGTGAAGTTCGAGCCCGGAGTGCCCTGCCAAGTGTCCTGCTGCCAGCTGCCAGCCGCCTGCCGCCTGCCGCCGTATTGTATAAGGTAAGCACCCACCGCCAAAGTGATCGAGAGTAGGTCGTATTCTTTTTATTGTTAAAACCGTTTACTTTACTGCCTTGACGCGTTATAGGGATAAGGGAGACAGAGATAGTTAGAACGCGCGATCGCAAAGGCCGGCAAAACTTATGTTCGTTCAGGGCCAACTGTCCTCTAGCAGGTTGGGGAGCTGAACGGATCACGTGGACGCGAGGAAAGCGCGCGATCGTAAAAGCCGGCAAAACTTGTGTTCGTTCAGGGCCAACTGTCCTCTAGCAGGTTGGGGAGCTGAACGGATCGCGTGGACGCGAAGAACGATTTCTTTTGTTAGGGGAAAGAAGGAGCGTGAGAGAGATAACGAGCAAGGTGGTACAGTAAACGCACGGGTCGCGAATGTTCTTGGAACTAAGGCAGGATCTCGTCCATCCCGCGACTGGTTCTGTAGTTCCCGTATTCTCATCAGGAGCGCCGTGGGATCTCGCCGACATCCCGAGGTGGTCCTGACCGGGCGGTGTGGACTGTGCTTATCCAGACGCCGTTTCGTTCTACTGCGAACGATCCAGGGCTCGCGTGCGTACCTATCCCACAGGACTCCGTTTCGTCCTACTGCGAACGATCCAGGACTCGCGTGCGTATCTATCCCACAGGACGCCGTTTCGTTCTACTGCGAACGATCCAGGGCTCGCGTGCCTATCTATCCCACAGGACGCCGTCTCGTTCTACTGCGAACGATTCAGGGCTCGGGTGCGTAATTATCCCACAGGACGCCGTTTCGTTCTACTGCGAACGATCCAGGGCTCGCGTTTGTTTATCCCGGGACGTCTGTAACGACGTCGCCGACGTTTAGAAAGTCGGGTTATAAAAGAGTATATCGCTCCGGTACGTACATGTCTGTGTTTACTAGGACGCCGTTAAGTTAGACGCCGGTTAGAAACTCGCGTCGTTTTATTTACTAGAGCGTCATGTCAAAAACGCGCTTTGAATTCGCGTGATTAAATCGGACAGTGAGTTGCATATCGAGATTATACGGTCAAAACTCTAGAGGTGCTCGATTGCTGTTGTAAATTTTATTTTACGAGTCATTAATTATAAATTTTCTTTCACTTTCATTACAATTTAAAGTCGTGAAACTTCCTGGGGTATTTAGCATATAGTTAATTAATTAAATAAAGCCTTAATGTTATGTTATAGTTAACTGTGTGTTTTATTTCTTTTCATTTCAACACTCCCTGGTATCTCCACTGTATAAAAGCTACCCGTATTGGCGAAACGTGGTCCTCTTCCACTATAAATAACAGAGGTGGCGCCCGAGATATTTAAATTTCCTACTGTACGCCAGTAAGACTATTTATTTTTCACTGAACCAAAGAAAAATAAATTGAGACTCTTACAACATACTTTAATAAATTTAAAAATAACACTTATTAAATAGAAAGGGCATCTGGTAATATATTTTTCATATCATTAAGAAATATTGCTATCCAATACACTACTAATCAGAGCTGCAACAAGTCAGTTTAAAAAAGACTTAAATCTTACATCCAACAGCATATCTATAATAATAATTCATAATAAATCGTTTTGTTTTAAGTGGTTTTATTCTGACGGGATCGTTGTACGCGATCTGGCGCTGCTATAGCGGTTGCTATTAGCCCTATTAGGTTGCTAAGAACAACCGCAAACAAAAACAGAAATAATTTTCTTTTGTCAAAGAAGCCAGAATCTTCAAAAATTATAAAATCTTTTAAAATCTAAACCGCTCTCATTGAAAAAATTCCGAAAAGTGTTTATAGCGTCGTCCATTTTTAAAGTAATTATTGCTATCTTGTGAGTTTAATTTAAGTTTTATTTACTCCAACCCGTGATAATTGTGAAAAAGTGGCATTAAAAACTTAAAAAGCTGTACTGTGAACTGTGAACTGCAAAAACCATCGTGGATCGTGGCATAACGTCGGTTTCCAATGTTTCGTAGGTATTTCATACATGTCCTTATATAAAATAAAGTTTCTGGTATGCAACACACTGTATTTTATTTATAAAATTAAAAGAAAATAATAAATTTGAATAAACAATATTTGGCGATATAATTCCGAAAAAAGCCGAACCGCTCCGAAATTTTCAAAAGTTTTGGGTCGCGTCCGTTGCAAGAATAGCGCCAAATAGTGTTTACATTATCCTTATTATATGGTCCTTATGGGCACTTTCCAATCTAAATTTGTTTCATTTATCTATGATGGCCATTAAAGAAAAAACTAAAGAAAGTTCTAAAGGGGGATGTTTTGTGATCTATCCTTGTCGAGGACCTAGCGTCCACCCGCCAAATTTGAACATTAATTTTAAAAATTTAATTTGTAAAATGCATATATTTGAACCCTTGATTTGAACAATAAATTGAATGTTTACTGCCATAAAAATTAAATTATATAAAAAATACATTTAGTCACTCCGTACGAGTTCTAACCAGAAAATATCCATGTAGTTTAATATAGATAAAAGAACAACCAAACAACAACTGAATACTTTACTTGCCTATGAAAAGATAATTCGGGGACCTCAGAAAATAAGATTATGGGATATGATTATGACAAGATTATGACAATTCAAAGACAATGAAAAGTTGGTTTCCATACCAATGAATAATTTGTTCTTTCTCCTTACTTTCTAAACCGTATAAAATTGTGATTATATTGGAAATACGTGCAACTTTTAATGCACATGGGCGCAAAGTAAGATCCTCGGTAAAGACAAGCCTATTGAACGTTTCATAAGTGCAATAAAAAAGGTTTGAAAATGACATGTCGTGATGCTGGAGACATATTTTTTAATGCTCATGGCGTTGATTTATCCACGTAAGTATACATGATCTACGGTTAAAACTGTTAATTTTTAATCAAGAAGCTTTGGAAAAATAGATTTTATCGTCTAATGTTTTCCGTGTTCCTGAACGGTTAAAAGATGCCTAAATCGTATTTTAATCATAATTCAATTTTTTAAAATGGAACGAGAGTTCGAGAATGTGTTCTTTGAAATGGGATGCGAAAATGCTATTTCTTTATTTGAAAATGTGTGTCAAAAGTTATATGTCATTCTATTGAGAATGTAATTTTCAATCATATAAAGTAGACAAATCGTGAGGGTACCATTTAAAAATCAAAAGTTGTAGTAATTTCCGGTGAAACAGGAAGTGACCGAAAGTAATTAAATACGTTAATCAATTCCGATTTATGTCTTATACTAAAATACTAAATTTGTTTTTTTATACTAGAAATTTTTATAGTATTTTGACGATGAATTCAAAATTTATTTCGAAATTATCATCTGTTTAAATGGTTTTTATATTTCATTCTATTTTTGATCGTAATACCTACCTTCGGAAAAATTGCAAGTGTGGGAACATCCACCATTATCATCGTGACAAGGGTTCCCTAGACAGTGTGTTTCATTGTGGAGGCCATGACCATCAGGACAAGAACATATTACTTTATGGTTCGCAAAAGTGCAAGTATGAGAACAACCCCCGTTATTAAGCTCGCAAGGATTTTGTTCCTTGCAATCGGTAGAATCGACCAAGATGTACTGCTCCGGACAAGAACATTTTACCTCATGATCTATGTACTCGCAAAAATGGGAACAGTTACCGTTGTTGACTAGGCATTTATTGATTTCTGAACAGTCGGTACCATTTTCTAGTATGTAACCTAAAAATAAAGTTATACTAAGTAGATTACTTATTAATAGTCATTAAAAAAATATGATTCCATACTGGGTGACCAAAAAGTGTTGCATAGATCGCCATTTTAATTCTTTTAAATTCTTTCTAATTTAACAAAAATAATTTTAAATTGCACACAGTGTGTCTTTTTGTACCCATTTACATAAAGGTTTAAATTTATCTTTTTCGCCAGCGATGTCACAAGTTACTATTATTTTTCAAAATGGCTGTGTGGACGGTTCTTATCTAAAATTCAATATGATGGAAGCATCGAACTGTCCACCGAAATATGAGCCGAAAAAAGATTTTGTTGACTTTTCTAAAATAATTAGTTTATTGTTGCATAAAAGCAATTTTTGGTATTCGTTTAAAATAATAATTTATTTTAATTATTGCAAAAATCAGCAAAATGAGTTCGTTGCAAAATTACTAAATATTTTTAAATGTAATGTAACCTTTCTTTTTGCATAATATAAAACAATGTGATTCTCATTTCTTTTTTAATTTAATAATATTTATGGTATATTTAATATTCACATTTGAACTAATAAAATGTGTCTAAATATTAATAATATTATATTAACAGTAATATACCTCTGGGCAGTTGCAGGGTGTTCCATTCGATTTGGAACTAGCAATTTATGCGACAATCTCATTATAACGTGCGCGCGTACTATTTATTAGTTATAATTTAATTTGTTAGCAACAAACATTATAAACATAAAACATACAAAATTCATATAAAAAATATAAACATACTAAATATTTTTAAATATAATGTAACCAATCTTTTTGCATAATATAAAACACTATGAATCTCATTTCTTTTTTTAAATTAATATTATTATACGGGGTGTGTCTTAAATAAGTACCAATATTTTTTGGGGCTGATAGATATAGATAAAAGAAACGTATTTTTTTTTCTACGACTAGCCTAGAAAATGCAGTTTGACACACGGAAAACTCGATCTGAAAACTCGATCTGATTGTCAGCACCCTGTATACAGGGTGCTGACAATTTCGATGCTCACCATTGGCATCTCAGAAACTACGAGAGATACGAATTCGGTTAAATGGGACAAAAGTTGCGTAATTAGAAATTTGACAAACACCTATGAAGAAAACCCCGGTATCCTGATTAATTTCGGATTTATGCCAAAAAAATGAAAATAATACGTTTATTTTCAATAACAATATCTTCAGAACTATTGTATCTATTGCAACGTAAGTTGGTAGTTTTATATTTTTAACCTCGGCCAATTAAATGCAGTTTCAGAAAATTTCTAAGCCTTCTAAATTTCGCACAACAATCAAGTTTTTGTTTTCTTATGGCCGCCATTTTGAATTTTCATCCTATTAGATAGAGCAAAAAATAATCTATACGGTGGTATCTAATTTTTATTCATTATCATGTAAAGTCGCAAAAAAATTAATTTTTTTAAAAATTCGCTCAAAAGATCAAGTCTGCCTTGGAAACCCAATTGACATTTTATATGATAGCAAGTTACATTGCCTGGAAACTTATTGGGTGAAATTTTGATAAAATAATTTAGTACACACTAAAAACACGGTATGTCGCTAGTGGTAGGAAACATAATTTTTAGAGATTACTAGTTTATTTGGTTGCCTGTGATATGCATATACAGGGTGTTTCCTAATTAATCTAAAAAATAAAAAATCGTTAGAAAACGGATTCTCCGCTGGCGGGCTCTTAATAAGTATATTTATTTTTTTCTCGACAACCGTTTGATGAACAAGAAAAACTCAAAAGATCAATCTTGTTGAAAAAGGATGGCCAGTCAAGAAAAAATATATTTTCTTTAAAAAAGCATGGTGTACCATTTATGTTAAGCAAAAAAATCGATTTTTTTTAATTTTTAACACCCTGTAGATCAGAAAGGAAGTACTGTAGACCTATTGGTTATATAAAAATTGTTTAAAGAACACATGAGGAATCACACCACAATTTTTTTAGAGTAATTATAAAATACCCTGTATATTGTCAACTTGACAATATACTTGACTTGAAGATATTGCTGATAAATCAAAAAATACCTTTTCAGTGAAATAAGCCCGATTTTCGCAGGAAAAATTTTGATTTTTATTGAATTTGGGCCTGCGTCTGCAAATACCTGTTTGTTATTTAATTTTCTATCTATCTAAATTTTAAATATCATAGTCAGAAATAGTTTTATCATTTATTAACTGTAAAAATGGTGTTTTCTTGTTGTGTTGCATCTTGCAAAGAAACTAACGAAACTGCAAAAATGCACGTGTTTCCAAAGACTTATCTTAGATAAAAGAAAAATATATGGTATGTATTCCTCGTTTGATTTTTTTCTCGTTCGCTTTAAAATCTATAAATCTCTGTCTATTCATTTGACAGCCTTTAAGTCGACTTACGATCATTTACATGAAACTCTGTAAAATAAATAAAAAAATAAACTGTAAAATATATATATTCTTATGTTTTATTAAAGTTACCCTGATATACTAATATATCAGTGTAACTTTAAAAATAAATCCTTTGAATTCAAATATAAACATAAAAAACATTTACAGCAGAAAAGGCGAAGGCGCTGGGTAAAACGTAGTCTCTACTAAAAACACGGAGGGGCGCTTTGACCCAACATTTTACTATTAAGTTTCATATCTATCTTAATAGTAGATTATTTTCTTTTATCTTTGTTTTCTAATTAGTCTAAAAAATTGTGGTGTGATTCCTCATGTGTTCTTAAAACAATTTTTATATAACCATTGGGTCTAAAGTACTTCCTTTCTGACCTACAGGGTGTTAAAAATTAAAAAAAAATCGATATTTTGCTTAACATAAATGGTACACTACTGCTTTTTTAAAGAAAATATATTTTTTTCTTGACTGGCCATCCTTTTTCAACAAAATTGATCTTTTGAGTTTTTCTTGTTCATCAAACGGTTGCGAGAAAAAAATAAATATACTTATTAAGAGACCGCCTTAAGCCGTTTTCTAACGATTTTTAATTTTTAGGTTAGATTAATTAGGAAACACCCTGTATATGCATATCACAGGCAACCAAATAAACTAGTAACCTCTAAAAATTATTTTTCCTACCCCTAGCGACATACCGTGTTTTTAGTGAGTACTAAATTATTTTATCAAAATTTCACCATATAAGTTTCCAGGCAATGAGCTTAATACAGAACCTAAAATTTTATTGTCAAGAACACGTTCAAAGAATATCTTATTTGTGGTATGGTTTTTCCAATTAAATGGGGATTTTTTTCCATAATAATGTGAATTTTTTTCTGTTAAATGTATCAGAATTTGTAAATAAAGGTTCATCCGTCCATATTTTTCTAGAAAAAAAAGGAGAAGAAAAAGTTTCAAGAAAAAAAATACTTTACCCAACTACTTGCAAATTATAATCTTCTCTCGTAATCACCAGCATTTAAAAATAATGTAAATTTGGTACACATTTAAATTTAAAGTTGTAATATTTATGTTTTTTTGATAATTTTTCCTACATAAGAATCACTTATACAACATTCGCGACTTATTTTTACGGCTAGAAGTTTCCGGATTAATTTCAGTCTGAGCTGTCATCATTAAGCCTTTTAAATTTCTGCCCTCTGGTTTTTAAAGCTACCAGTAACTGCTAAATTTCTTGAAATCCTTGCGAAAATAGTACGATGAGGCTGTGTTCTTTCAGGATACAATGTTCTATAACTTGCGCATGCTATATCGGAATTTCTATTATTTTTTAAGTAAACATCATAGAAATCTCGTGTTTCCTCACTTACGAACACATTGTTGACTGTTAATACACTTTACGCCTTCTACTATAAATTTTTGTGTCCAGATTTGACACTTAATAGAGACTTAATAGAGTAAACAAAAATTAACTTGCTGTCATATAAAGTGTCAATTGGATTTCCAAGGCAGACTTGATCTTTTGAGCCAATTCTTAAAAAATCTATTTTTTTAGTGAATTTACATAATAATGAATAAAAATTAGATACCACCGTATATATTATTTTTTGTTCTATCTAATAGGATAAAAAATTAAAATGGCGGCCATAAGAAACCAAAAACTTGACTGTTGTTGTGCGGAATCTAAAAGGCTTAGAAATTTTCTGAAAACGGCATTTAATTGGCCGAGATCAAAAATATAAAACTATCAACTTACGTTGCAACACATACAATAGTTCTGAAGATATTGTCATTTAAAATAAACGTATTATTTTCATTTTTTTGACATAAATCTGAAACTAATCAAGATACCGGAGTTTTCTTCATAGGTGTTTGTCAAATTTCTAATTACGCAAGTTTTGTCCCGTTTAACCGAATTTGTATCTCTCGTAGTTTCTGAGATGGCAATGTCGAGCATCGAAATTGTCACCACCCTATATATACACATAATATATTTATATTTGCATCTGAATTAATAAAACACATAAATATTTTTCATATTATGATAACCTTAACATACCTTCTGGGCATTTGCAGGCGGGTGTTCCATTCGAATTGTAACAAATGTGGGAGCAACCTCCATTCTTCTTAACACATGGGTCTACTTTAAAGCAGACTTTATCTTCTAAAACTTGACCTTCTGGGCACTTACATACAGCATTGCCTTCTTCGTTAACGCATTCATGCGAACAACCTCCGTTATTTGCCTCGCATGGATCAATTTCTATACAGGTTTTGTTATCACTATCCAATTTATAAGATTCTTTACAACTAAAAAACGTTCATAATTGAAAGTTTATAATTATTTAACATATTATAATTTAGATTTATTTAGATATAATTTAGATTACAAATTCAAATGTTTTATGTTAAAAATATTTGGATTTATTATACTACTAGCGTGTACCAGCGACTTCGTTCGCGTCGAATTAATCATTTGTAATGGTGATGATAAAGCAAAGGAAGAGTTTCCATTAACATACAAACTGGATAAAATTTTCTCACATTTATGTCAGCATGAGAAAAAACAAAATGGCCATATTATTATATAACTTGGTAATATTTGAGGGGTAGTTTCATCTCGTTGGAATTTGACTTTCGAAAAATCCGTTTGCCAAAAATAAGCTTTTTACGTCAAGCAGTTTAAGCAGAATCGTGGTTAAGAAATTACCCAACTTTTTGGAACACCCTGTATGATTTTTTTAAAAAATTCAAAATATGTAAAAAAACCAAATAAGTTATGCTTGTCTAAGCGTTTTCCCGAAAGACTAACCGTTTTTTAAATAACAAATATTGTAATATTTGAGGGGCGTTTTCACCCTCTTCGAATTTGAGATTCGAGAAACCCCTCCTTATCGAATCTCTACACCCCACAGTCAATCCGTTTGCCAAAAATCAGCTTTAAACGTCAAGCAGTTTAAGCAGAATCGTGATTACTCAATGGTCATATTTTATGAAACACCCTGTACAAATTTATAAAAAATCTTAAAATATGTAAAACAACAAAATAAAATATACTTGTTTAAGAGTTTTTCCGAAAAACTCACCGGTTATTAAATAAAAAATATTTTAATATTTGAGGGATAGTTTCGCACCCTTAGAATTCGAGTTTCGAAAAATCCCTTCTAATCGAACCTCTACACCCTAAAGTCAATCTGTTTTCCAAAAATCAGCTTTTTACGTCAAGTGCTTTAAGCAGGATAGTGATTAATCAATGACCAGATTTTTCGAAACACCCTGTATACATTTTTTAAAATTGTTAAAATATGTAAAAAACAAAATAAAATATACGTGTTTAAGAGGTTTTTCGGAAACTTGACCGTTTTTTAAATAAAAAATATTGTAATATTTAAAGGGTGGTTTCACCCTCTTGGAACTGGAATTTCGAAAAATCCCTTCTTATCGAACCTCTACACCCTAGAATCAACCTGTATGCCAAAATTGAGCTTCTTACGTTGAGTGGTTTGGGCAGGATCGTGATTAATCAGTATGTCAGTCACTTAAGGATTTTATAATATATTAGTATAGATATTTGCAACGCTTGGTTAAAAATTATTTGTGACGTTTGAAAAAATAGCATGTTCTATTCCGAGTAAAAATGCCTTTTTGTGCCTCGCCTGCAATGTCAAACGTACAACCTCGCCACAAAAAGTGTCATTTTTACTGGTGTAATAAAACAATATACATACTATTTTCAAATAGAAACCCACCTTTTTATCTCACTAGTAAAAAAGTTTTTCAATTCGTTACTTTTTGACTATACATTTTCCAATACCTAAAATAAATCGTTTTTAAGTTATTTAAGATTTATGTTTAGAGCGTATATTTTTCTTGATTTTATGTGCCAGTAGCCTATGACTTTAAACGTCAAGTGATGTAAAACAATAGATCTGGCCACGTCATATTGTGACACTTTGTTCAAAAAGCAGTGTGTCATCGATCATCATCATAGATACAGTACGTCTGTCCGTTCTGTGGCCACGGGGTATCCGTGAGAGGGGAAACGATATTCTCTCGATGTTTTTCCTAAAAAATTACACGACGCGTCCCATCAATAAAAATTCGACAAATTTGCAAGTAGCCAATAAAATGAGTGGGCGGAGCGATTTGCGGTGACGTACTCGTCAAGTCGACGTATAAAATATATTGCTGTTTATTTAAATGTTTTTTGTCCGCATTCCTTTCATAGACACAGATCCAGCAGACGAACTGTAAATGAAACAAGTTTAGATTGGAAAGTGCCCATAAGGACAACGTAAACACTATTTGGCGCTATTCTTGCAACGGTCGCGACCCAAAACTTTTGAAAATTTCGGAGCGGTTCGGCTTTTTCCGGAATTATATCGCCAAATATTGTTTATTCAAATTTATTATTATTTTCGATTAATTTTTTAAATAAAATACAGTGTGTTGCATACCAGAAACTTTATATATATATATATATATATATATATATATATATATATATATATATATATATATATTTATATAAGAACGCATGTATGAAATACCTATGAAACATTGGAAACCGACGTTATGCCACGATCCACGATGGTTTTTGCAGTTCACAGTTCACAGCACAGCTTTTTAACTATTTAATGCCACTTTTTCACAATTATCACCGGTTGGAGTAAATAAAACTTGAATTAAACTCACAAGATAGCAATAATTACTTTGAAAATGGACGCTATAAACACTTTTCGGAATTTCTTTAATGAAAGCGGTTTAGATTTTGAAAGATTATTATGATCATATTATGATTTTTGAAGATTCTGACTTTGACAAGAGAAAATTATTTCTGTTTTTGTTTGCCGTTGTTCTTAGCGACCGCTATAGCAGCGCCAGATCGCGTATAACGGTCGCGACCCAAAATAATTTCGCGACCTAAAATTTTTACGGGCTTTCCAATCTAAACTTGTTGCATTTATCTATGATCATCATTTCCAAGCCAATTTTGCGCAACTTTTTTTTTCGATCATACCGTATATTATTAATAATATCAAGTAGTAGACATCATCAAAGAGCGAAAATACAAGAAATATTTTTATAAATAACACTTTTTAAACTCTTAAACAGCAGTATTTATAATATAGGAAATTCAAATAATTAGTTTTCTGACAGATGGAAATAAATTGTCTGATTGTTTGACACTTAATGCTAAAGGAAGCTAGATAAAATCAAGAAAAATATCCTTTTTTAAACTAAATCTTAAATAGTAAATAACTTAAAAACGATTTATTTTATGTATAGAAAAACATATAGTGTATAGTCAAAAAGTAACGAGTTGAAAAGTCTTTTCACTAGTGAAATAAAAAAGTGGGTTTCGAGTTGAAAAAAAAATAGTTATGGCAATTTTTTAATCGCTCAATTCCATGACAGCTACCGTCATTATTATAAGACATTCCAACAATTTAATTTTTGAAATATATAGCCACATGTTTTTTCTTTATGTCACAGTGGCTGTGGTAATCATTAAATTTGACTTTTAGCCAATACAAATTCTTTTGACGGGCATTTTTTTTCGTCCAAAAATTTTAAATATTTTTTCCTCAGAAACGGCTGTTAGGTATAAAGTTTTTAACAACAATATTCATAGAATTTTACAGAGAATTTAAGTATGTAAGTTGCTGTCAACTTGCGGTATTTCCGGAAGTGCCGCCATATTGAAAATATTCTTAATCGACAGATCTTGTTGTAAAACAATGATTTGCAAAAAATCTCCGATATAGATATCTGTAGCTCTCTAGAAACTTCTAATGCACGCTCTGTCTGGGACACCCTGTATACGAATAATCTCAAATAAACAGATCAAAAATCACAAAAATATAGAATATTAATATAGTTACGCGGTTTTGGGTTTAAATAAAAAATAAATGTCTTTGATTATACCAATTGCAAATTCACTATAAATTTCAATCCAATTAAAAAATAATAATAATAATTTTAAATTAAATTAAAAATAATATTATTTTAAATTTTATTATTACAATTTTTTTTTTTTTCTTAAGAAATTAATAATTTATAATCTATACATCTTAAGAAAGGTTCCGGCAATCCTTCGATAACAGGCATCTACTTTGCAGCTGAAACACCTTCGAGACGACTGAAATCACGTTGAGGTCTCCTAAATACTTTAAATGTAGAACCACCAGACGAGTTCCCCTTACATCAAGATCCACCAACGGGAGTCCGTTTGGATTGGAAAACCTGGAGAGCACCTAATAGGATTCGGACAGGCGCGGCGCGGCAGTAAAAGCCAATCTAGTGAAATGGGGTATAAATCAGAATGGGAACAGCCAGTGCGAACGCGGCGAAGAACTAACGATGGAGCATATTACCACATGCAGAAACTGCCCTTATACTTGTAGTTCTCAAGATTTATGACTGGCAAATGAAAACGCAATTAACGTAGCCCGGCATTGGGCGGAAATTATTTAATCTTAAGTTTTAAGATTTTTTTTATGTCCGGACACGAAGAAGTAAAGTTCAATTGAACGTTTGAATTGTTTATATAGGTAAAAAACTCTATCTCACCTACACTCATATGTCCCAGGCAAATTTGTGCAAATATGACTACAATGCCCATTCTTTTTACTACATTCATTTACATCTTCACAGGTCGTATCATCATCTAATAAAGTGTATCCTAAATTGCAGGCGCATTCGTATCCCCCTTCATAATTAAGGCAGTATTGATCACAATTATGCAAGTTAAGGGTTTTGTCGCACTCGTTGATGTCGATGCACTTTTTGGAATCTTCATCATAGTTAAAACCTTGTTCACAAATGCATCTAAAAAAGTCCATAATCAATACAATAATCATATGTGCATATCTAAACAAAAATTCTGATTTCAAGTATTTGTATAATAGAATAAAATATCATACAAATAATTTTGGTAAAATAAATAAATAAAATAAAGTAAATAAAGTAAATAAAGTAAATAGAGTAAATAAAGTAAATAGAGTAAATAAAGTAAATAAAGTAAATAAAGTAAATAAAGTAAATAAAGTAAATAAAGTAAATAAAGTAAATAAAGTAAATAAAGTAAATAAAGTAAATAAAGTAAATAAAGTAAATAAAGTAAATAAAGTAAATAAAGTAAATAAAGTAAATAAAATGAAATAAAGTAAAATAAAGTAAATAAAGTAGGAATTGGAGTAAATTGAGTGTAAATAAAGTAAATAAAGTAAATAAAGTAAATAAAGTAAATAAAGTAAATAAAGTAAATAAAGTAAATAAAGTAAATAAAGTAAATAAAGTAAATAAAGTAAATATATTGTCTTTGTGTTATAGAATTGTTATAGTTTATATACAGGGTGTTTCAAAAAGCATGTGCCATCTCTCGTGGGGAGATTTGTCACGTAGAAATAAGATATATTTTTCATATCAACATAGGTCCGATTCTGCTTTGTTTCGTAGCTACAGGGTGTTAAAATCTTAATAATCTTTCAATTTATTATAATTTTCTTCCAAGTACTTTTAGTGATTCGAATGAAATTTTGAGGGTAAAAGTTACTACCTATAAGTGAAAAAATACAAAAGTAGGTAGTGGGTAAAAGTTACTATAAGTAAAAAAGTTACTTAATGCTAAAAAAGTGTCGAAAAATTCATCAGGGACGTGCTTATGGGTTATCATTGAAATATTTAAAAAAAAGACATGTGCGTTACTGACTTTTTTCTTTTGATATCAAAATTGTGCACGCAATTTTATTAATCGCAATTAATAAAATTAAAATAAAAATAAAATTTTAAATATGTATTATTACTATTAATTATTATTGCTATTAGTCCAACCTACAGCAATTTCAAATAAAAAAAATGGTATTTAAGATAATTACAAAAAAAAAATAATTTTAAAAAGTTTTAACATCCTGTAACTCTAAAACTATGCATTTCTATATTCATGTTTATAGGAACTTTTTTTCATATTTTTTGATGAGGAATCGATGAGTACTTATTTAAAACTTTCGTAAGGTATTACAATTTTTTAAAGGTTGCTATAGACTTGAATCAAGGCAAATTAATAAAATTCCGTTTATCTCATCAAGGAGGCCGAAATCGACAAAATATTAAGAGACAACTTACATTATTTTGCTTACAAGAGAAAAACAGTGGCGTATATGTTTTGATAGAAAAATATTCCAGTGATAACCCATATGCACGTCACTGGTGAATATGTCGAATTTCTTTAAGCTTTAAAATATGTCGCATTTATAGTAACATTTACCCTCAAAATTTCATTCGAAACGCTAAAAGTACTTGGAATAGAATTGTAATAAATCGAAAAAATATTAAAGCTTGAACACCCTGTGGCTACGAAGCAAAGCAGAATCGGACCTATGTTGATATAAAAAATAAATCTTATTTTTACGTGAGGAATCTCCCCATGAGAGATGGCACATGTTTTTTGAAACACCCTGTATATTTTACTTGTTTCAAGCTTATTAAATGTTTATTCTATTAGTTTTGTTATAAGAAGAAAAAATGTTTTTTGATGCAAAATATATTCTTGGACTGACATCATCTTATCTTTAATATTTGAATTTTACACAATGTTTCAGTAAGCAAGAACAGTATGCTCGAAAAAAAAAACAACGTTAGCGATGGCTATGAAATGAAGATTGCTGTCATTTTATATGTAAAACTATATGGGAAGTGTCATCAATCATCCTTTCCAAGCCAAGGGGACGCCGTTTTTTTATCTGTTCCTTATTATATACATTATATTTATAAAAAAAATAATTTACTTACCGAAAACTACCTGGTGTATTTTCGCAAGTTAATGGACAAGAAGAATTATCTTTACATTCATCGATATCAATGCAATGGTGCTCACTTTTATCCAGTTCGTAACCTGATGGACAACTGCATCGATACGACCCGATAATATTTTCACATGAATGGGAGCAATAATTTTCTCCAAGACATTCGTCAATATCATTACAAGTTTTTCCATCCGACCTAAAATTAATTAATGGGGTTCAAAATAAAAAAAAAATAAAAATATTTAAAAATTTTGTTTGTCTTTGTATTGCTATTTTATTACAAGATTTTAAAAATAGTACTGTTTTATATACCTACAATAATTAAATAGTTTTATAGTTGAGAACTGAAACTTTATTCCATATTAGCTGATATTAATGACTCAACCTTGACTCAACGGTAAGCGTATTTGATCGCCAACTCATTAGTATCAAGTTTTTTAGAGACACTATTCTACGTGTCTACATCTTAGTATAGTTACTTACCCTAGTATGAATCCTGAAGAACATGTACATTGTACGACTCCATTAATTTTAGTAACATCATGGGAACATTCCATCTCAGAGCAATGAGTTGAGTTTATAAGTAATAATTTTTCGGGACAACTGCATTCAAAACTTCCTATTTAAATAAAGATTTAAACTAGCTTACCTTTGCTCTACGTAAATATACATAAAATATTATTTTTCATACCTGCAGTATTAACACATTTATGTGAACATGGATGGGCCAAACATTCATCTACATCTACGCATGTGGATTTATTTTCGTCAGTCACCTCATAACCTTTAGGGCAGGTACATTCATAACTTCCAACTAAGTTATTACAGGAGTAAGAACATGTGTTATCTCCAGTTTCACACTCGTCGATATCTATACTTGGAAAAAGTAAATTTCTTAATATACTTTCATATTCAGGGTGATCTCCTATAGTCTGTTCAACGAGAATATATGATAATGACAGATGCGTCTGTGATGTTAATTCAAAGGTAAATTGTATTTTCTGTCATGTTTTCGACGTCATCTGTAAAAATCTTCGCTAACTCTTTAGGCAGACTTCATTCGAAAGAGCTTCGTATAACATTCAGATGTTAATTCAGATTTTTTGTATAAAATATAGAGCCAATGATAGCGCACATTTCGTTTTTTTGTAGGTAAACCAGGTGTTTCAAATATATTTCTACACTGAAGATAGAAATTGGGTTATGAAGTTAATATTGAGTTATCTTGCATGTGACATAAAAATATTGTAAATGGATAAATTGTGACAGCACTGAAAACTAAACAATTATAGTATAATCAATCATTTTTAAAGACGGGATGAGACAGAGTCAAAGTGTACTTGAAGTACACTTGGATGCTGCCATATAACTGTACTTATAGTAATGCTGCGCGCGTCTAATAATAATAATTCCTACCTATACATTCTCCTTCTGTTAATCTAAATCCCTTTTTACATGTTTTTTGTTCAGTTGTGGTCTCCGTGGCAGTTGTTTTTCTTAATTCTACTTCATCATAATCTTCATCGTAGTCATCTTCGGTTTCTTCATCTTCTGTTTTATCAATTGAAGTTTCCTCGCCAATGGGATCTGATATATATTAATTAGATTTTTAAACAACAATGCATTTATTAATTAATTACCTTGTCCATCTTCTTTAGTTTCTTCAGATAAAGGTGCTTTTTTATTGGAATGACTTGTCTCTTTGTATTCTTCACCAAATTCGTCTTCTTTACTATTTTCAACTTTTAATTCGGTAGCTGGAACCAATGTTGTTGCTTTAAAATAAAAAAAAAATCTTTGATAGAATATCAAATAAGGGAAATATAGACCTATATTATTAGCCCCCGAACGATATACTGTGGATCTTGGTAGTGGATGAACTATTAGACAGACTAACTTTAGCGGAAATATACTGCATAGGGTTTGCAAACGACATAGTCACGATACATCAAGGCACTTTGTGTGATATTATCCACAGAAGGCTACGTATCACTGAGGGATGGTGCAGGATTGTCGAGCTGAGCATCAACCCAGACAAAACCGCATTGACCAGTAAGCGAACTCTGAAAAACCTCAAAAGAAACCAAAGCGATGGAAAAGAAATACTGCCAATAGAGGAATATCTGGGAATACCCTAAACAGTATACTTCTATTGAACAGGCATATTAAGAACATTACCAGCAAAACCACAAAGGCTCATTTTTGCGCTGGATATACAGGGTGGTCCGAACTGTATTTCGGAAACTTTAGTAGCATATTCTGCAGATAAAAATAAGTAAAAAAGTTCTTATAAATGTATGTCCTAAAATGCTTAGTTTCGGAGATACAGGGTGTAGAAGTTCCATTTTTATTTCGATTTTTTCCAAATAATTTCTGAAGTAACATCAATATTTGGGTGAAATTTGGTGTCTGGGAGTTTTTTAATATGAGAAATTCGATTTTGATGTCAATATGACTCCTACTTGTAGAGGGCGCCACCTACATATTTTTAACTGGTTTGAAGAGTAATAACTTTTCATCCGTACCTGTATAAAACTACTAAATAAAAAAATATACATTAACGACGTTTTTAACGTAAAAAAGATCTCTTGCTAAAAATCGCTACGAGTAATAGTTCCCGAGATATTTGAAATCGAAATTATCAATACCTGTCATCTTCTTCTTCTTCTTCGGGTGCCATGTGCTATGCCGCACGTTGGCGATCATTCGTCTGTTTTATGGCTATAAGATGACTAGGGTGCCCTCTTCGGCTCGTCGAAATATGGTTGCGGCGTCAAATATGGTTACCTGTCATCATTGACATAAATTATACAGGGTGAGTTTCCTACGATGTTCTCTATAGGTATCTCGGAAACTACTGGAGATAGAGAGTCAGTTAAATGGGGAAAGAATTGCAGTTTTGTGGGGTTATAAATATGCGCTTTTCAGGTTTTCGAAAAAGTTCATGGCTTACTAGATATTTCGAAAAAAACAAATTTTGGCTATTTTAAAAATTGTCCCTAATTCCATTATAATCTATTTTAGACAAAAAGTTTTCAGATAAAAGTTGTAGATAATCACATCCCTAATGAGACTGTGCTCTCCGATTTTTTCTAAAGCCTGTCATTTTTGACATATGACACAAACATATGTTTTTTTAAATGGAAACCATAGTTGGCCATGACTTCATAAAAGCGCCGTTTTTAAGCTTTTCAACGATATAAACTATAATATGTTTCTTTTACAAAATTACTGAGTTATAACCAATTCTTATCTTTCTTGACTAATTTCACTTAGTTAGCCATGGAAACAAGTTCAATCGTCGTTGCTCTCAGAAATGTGAAATTGTCACATCCAATCTTTGTAAATTAACATAAACAAAAATTGTAAATAAGAGTTTTTTAAATGAAGAACAGCGTGTAGAATTATTGGTTCAACTTTTCTTGGCCATACAGTTTCGAGGATACGTTGACCGGCGAACGTTACGTTTTGTAGAAAACGGTTTTCAAGACATGTTAGAAAAGTTAAATTTAGATACTCGCGCATTAATACAGTGGTTCCAACATGACTTATGTTGGAACTCTCTTACATGACTTCATTATGACGCACCAACCCCCCCCACAATGAAAGAAATGTTATTTAAAAAATTATTTATATCATAATTATGTAGACTCAGGGAGGTGGACCAATTGCATGCATGGGTCTCCTTGGTCACCTGACCTATCCATTTTAGATTTTTTTATGCGGTGTGGTTAACAACAAGGTTTACAAAAATACTTATGAATTAAGAGAGGCACTCGAAGAGGCGGAACAGGAGAAATTTAATTAAGTCGACCGGTCGTTCTGTGACAATAGCTAGAAATTCAGTTTTAAAAAGATGCATTTATGTACTCAAAATAATTGCGGATTTTTTGAACATTTTCTAAAATAACTTAAAGTGTACGTAGTGTTATTATTTTTTGAGTTTTAGTTTGTGTAATCTAAATTGTAAAGAGCCGTTTAATAACATATTTTTTCTTTTTATAAGTTATAAATCACAACAAAATTTGAACACCATTGAAAACCGTTCTCTAAAAAACGTAAGTAACTTTCACCGGTCAAAGTATCCTGTATGGCCAAGAAAAGTTGAACCAATAATCCTACACGCTTTTCTTCATTTGAAAAAGTTTTATTTGCAATTTTTGTTTATTTTAATTTACAAAGATTGGATGTGACACAATTTCAAATTTCTGAGAGCAACGACGATTGAACTTGTTTCCATGGCTAACTAAGTGAGATTAGTCAAGAAAGATAAGAATTGGCTATAACTCAGTAATTTTGTAAAAGAAACATATTATAGCTTATATTGCTGAAAAGCTTAAAAAATGGCGCTTTTTATGAAGTCATAGCCAACTATGATTTCCATTTAAAAAAACGTATGTTTGTGTCATATGTCAAAAATGACAGGTTTTATAAAAAATCGGAGAACACAAACTCATTAGGAATGTGATTATCTACAACTTTTATCTGAACACTTTTTGTCTAAAATAGATTGTAATGGAATTAGGGACAATTTTTAAAATAGCCAAAATTTGTTTTTTTCGAAATATCTAGTAAGCCATGAACTTTTTCAAAAATCTGAAAGGCGCATATTTATGACCCCACAAAACTGCAATTCTTTCCCCATTTAACCGACTCTCTATCTCCAGTAGTTTCCGAGATGCCCATAGAGAACATCGTAGGAAACTCACCCTGTATAAACATGTTGACTAAATAGTTAATAGACGGAAATCATAAATTTGAAATGTTTTTGTGCCAAACCATCATCAATCATCATTTTTTCGAAAAAAAATTTATGATTAAAAAAATAAAAATTTTCCAAATTTATCTTTTTAGTCAAATAACTATCTACACAATATGTTTATTTTTTGTCAATAATGACATGTATTGAGTATTCCCATTCTAAATATCTCGAGAAGGGTTGCTCGTAACGATTTTTACCAAGAGACAATTTTTACGTAAAAAAATACGAAAATGTATATTTTTCACTCAGCAGTTCTATACAGGTACGGACAAAAAAAGTTATTACTCTTCAAAACAGTTAAAACACATGTAGGTGGCGTCCTCTACAAATAGAAGTCATAATGACATCAAAATCAAATTTCTGCCAAAAACTATAACAGACACCAATTTTCATCCAAATATTGACGTTACTTCAGAAATTATTTGGAAAAAATCTAAATAAAAATGAAACTTCTACACCCTGTATCTCCGAAACTAAGCATTTTAGGACATACATTTATAAGAACTTTTTTACTTCTTTTTATCTGCAGAATATGCTCCCGAAGTTTCCGGAATACAATTCGGACAACCCTGTATACCATGATAGTAAGTCCCATGATTACTTATGGAGCAGTTGCTTGGTACACAAAACTGAAGCAACGTACATCAAGGCAAAACCTGTGCAAAATGTAGAGACTGACATGCATCTGCATTACAAGAGCCGTGAGAACCTGCCCAACAGCAGCAACGGAGGTCATTCTAGACCTAACACCACTGCATATTGTCATTGGTAGATATGCCAATGCGACAATGATTAGAATAGCCATTGACGGAGACAGTACTGGGAGAATTGTCAGCTCAGGAGCTTGGAATACCCCCAAAAAGGAAAATTCAACTCCTCCAACATCCAGTTGATGACTACCGACAATGTAAAATTTTGAGAAACACTTAGCTGTAGTATTGAGCAACAGAACGAATTGGTAAAGGGAAACATTTGCTAATCAGTTAAAAGACCACACTATAAAGTGGTATGCATCTGCATGCAAAGCAGGGACTTAATTAGCAAAAACTAAATGGGCACCATTACCAAACATCTATTAGGCAGAAATCTACGCTATCGAAAGATGCGTACAAATTATCTTAGATAGGAACTATCTAATAGTTACATACTTTTCGTTGTAGTTTCAGATGGCACTGTAGATATAGTTTCAGTAGTTTGATCTTTATCATCAATAATATCGACTCTTCTACCAATGGTCACCTCTGTTGTTGAAGTAAAATTATTTGTATTTTCTACTTGTTGAATATCTTCTGCCTGAATGAAAATAAGCAGAAAATGACAATTAAATATTTTGTGTTTTTATTTTAAATTTCATGAAAAATTACCGATGCTTTAGTCACCTGTGGGGAAGGTTCATGTTCTTCATTTTCATTATTTTCTTCTTCATACTCTTCTTCGTATTCTTCTTCATATTCATCATCGTAGTCTTCTTTTTGATTGCCAATTGGTCCTTCACTTTTATTGGCTTCTATTTCTTCAGGTTCAATTATTATTTTCTCTTCATTGACATCGTCTGTTTCAACAATAGTTTCCTCTTTATGAGTTTCTTCTTTTTCTGTATCTTCAAATGTTGTCGATTCTGTAGGAGTAGGTGACTGTGATGTCGTCGCGAGCTCTATAAATTGTAAAATATCAAATATCTTTGTCAGTTAATGTATTATTAACAGCTTATTACACATTACTAAATTATGTATAAACTTATTATAGTTATACAGAATCCGGCAATAGTGCGTAGCTCCTAGAATACAAATCTTGGGAATTTTGTTTAAGTGCAAACCTAAAGCAAAGTCTACAGAACTTTGCCTAAAGTATGTACTAGGATGTATATCAGGAAAATATTTTAACTTTTATAGGGTAGCTCAAAAAAGTGTGAGTGGCTCGGGATGACTTTTTTTTAATGGAATACCCTGTATATTATTGTATTTTTGGCTTCCTTTTAAATCACTTTACATAATCCTGAGATATGAGTAAATATATTTCGGTAATTTACCTAACTACAGATTGCCGGACCGGATAGATGATGTGGCATTTGTGCCACATTATTTTTTCTCTATTATTGCCACACTCTTTTTCTCTATTAAAAATTATAAGATATAGAAAATACTATGTAATTTTTAATAGTCAGTTATTTATTACTATCACATTTATTTATAAAATCATAGAGTGTATGATAAAAAATGGCGCCAAGTGAGCTTGGAGATGACAATGATTATCGTTTCCATTTATCTCTCATACCGTTTTTTCAATCGCATGGTAGATATTTACGTTAAGCGAAAAGTCCACAAGAAATCTCTGTAGTGAAAACCTTAATTTTGTTTGATCTATTTATTAATATCTGATAAAATATTTTAATAACATATTTAAAAAAAAACTCATTATGAAATTCCAAAATTAAAACTGCTAACTAGATTTAATCTGCCGATTAATGGTAACACGGTGCCGAATGCGCATCTATAGATAAAAATAATAAGTTTTAGTGAATAGTGGCAAATTCATGCTTAATACAGGGCCCTGTAACAGTGCGTCGGGCATTTATAGGTCCTATAAAAAAGAACTTACAAAGTTTGTTTGTGCATACCTAAAGTATTTACTAAGGCCTATTTCAGAAAATTATTTTAACTTCTATAGGGTGGCTCAAGAAAGGGTCAGTGCATGCGGGATGCTTTTTTAATCAGAATACCCTGTATATTATTGCATTTTTGGTTTTCTCTTTAATCATTTTATATAGTCCTAAGATATTATTAAGTTTGTTTCTATAATTTCACAGATATAAATAAATAAATGAAAAAAAATCAACCTTTAATAAAATATATTTAAAATATAAGATGTGACCTGAAATCAAAAAACTATACTAGATACTTACTATAATGTTACTTTAGTATAAGTATCATAATCTTTAATCGGCGTGTTACAGCGTGTTCAAAATTCCATGCCAAACTTGCTAAGATATACATATAATAATTGTTCCTCGGTTTTTTAACACCCTGCATATATTTTTTTTAGATGGAGAATCGAAAAAAAAGTATTTTTAAATTTTTAACGGTTTCGCTCTTTTAACGGTAAAATGAATACAAGACAAAAATTATTGGGTGTATTTGATAAAGATTTATTGTTGAAAAAGCTATATGCAATATAATACTGCAAAACCGCTAAAAATAATTTAAATAAAAAAATGTTCAGTTTTAAATTCTCCATGTAACAAAGAAATATTATAGAGAGTGTTCTATTAAAAAAAAAACAAGAAACATATTTTATATTATTGAAAGTTTGGCGCAGAATTTTGAACCCCTTGTATGAATTAAGATTACGATATTTATGGTAAAGTAAGTACAGACCAACACCAATAGTAAATACCTAGTATAGTTTTGATTTTAGTATGTTTCTTGTATTTAGAATATTTTTATAAGAAAGGCTGAAAAATATATTTTTTATTTATTTCTTAATATCTCTAAAACTATCAAAATATATTTATAGTATCTTAGGATTATGTAAAGTGATCCGAAAGGAATCCAAAAAATACAATAATATACAGTGTGTTCCATTTAAAAAAAATCATCCCAATTCACACAAACTTTTTAGAGCCATCATGTAGTTAAAATATTTCCCTGAAATGCATCCTAGTACATATTTGAGGCCTACACTTAAACAAAATTCATAAGTTTTTTTACACTGTTGCAAGGCCCTGTATAGGTTGCATATATGTACAGGGTGGATACATAGGTTGCATATATGCACCTCATTCACCTCGGTTGATTATACGAAAACGGAAAGATGTAGAAACAAAATATTTTATGGGTATATGTGGGGAGACAATATGCACAATTTAAAATTATTTTAAATATATAGGGTGTTTCATAACTAAGATCCATACCAAAGTTATATTTTTTCTTATGGAACACCTAGAATTTTATTTCATTTTTGGATTCTTGGGCACAAAAAAAGGCATTTATTATAAGGGTTAAATATGTTTAAAACCTTTAGTTTTTGAGATATTTAAAGATATTTAAATTTGCATGCTGCAATAGAATCGACTATTAACACCCTGTACATTACTTTTCTCAGAATTAATTCTTATGCTGGTTCCTTAAATTTATACAGGGCTATCAAAAGTTGCTGATCTATTTTAAGGATATATTTTATAGAAAAACTTCGTTATTTCAAATGCAACACCCTATATTTTTTTAAATAAATCGAAGCTGATTCAAATGCTCTTTCAAACTATATTAGGGTTTCCTATACCTATCTAGCTAAGATTTTGAATAAAAAGCGGTTTTTAAATAAAATTGCGCAATCAAGATGGCTGGTGTCGCCATGGCAATTTTCTAGTGACAGTTAGTAACTATTTTCAAAGTCGACATTAGTTTATGGACATTATTATTTATAATTTATAACAGTTTACTTAAATTTACCTACAATAGTTTAATAAGTAAGTATTCATTATTTTATCAAGAAAAATAAAGCAGTATCTGCTGGCGGAACGAATAGATATGTTACTAGTGATATTATTTTGTGAGGAAAATTGCTTCTTGGCCTCAAGGGCTTATGCTTCAAGATATCCAAATAGGAATCTTCCTGATAAGCGTTTCTTTAAAAAACTTCTTGTCCTATTTCGCTGAGCTGATAGTGTTGTTTATAAAAAACCTATTAGGCAGAAACCTGTCGTTGGAAGTGAATAAAATGAATTTAATTAATAATTGGCTATTTTATAGAAAATTCATATATCCACAAGTCATCGTAAAATAATTCAAAGAACTACTTCTTCGTTTTTCTTGATAGAATAATATACACATATTTAATAAATATTATTTATTAAACTATTGTAGGTAAATTAAATAAAAGTCAACTGGTATAAATTTAAATAAGTCCATAAACTAATTTCGATTTTGAAAATAGCTACGAACTGTCACTAGAAACTTGCCATGACAACACTAGCTATCTTGATTCCAATTTTATTGCAAAATCGCTTTTTATTCAAAATCTGAGCCAGATAGGTATTGGAAACCCTAATATAGTTTGAAAGAGCATTTAAATCTGCTTCCTCTTGTTTAAAAAAATACATAGTGTTGCATTTGAAATAACGAAGTTTTTTTGTAAAATAAATATTTAAAATAGACCAGCAATTTTTGATATCCCTGTGTACATTTAAGAAAGGGATATCACTTTTCTGTAAAGTTTATTTCTCTACCTTTAAACTCAGCACAAGAACTAATTCTGAAAAGTAATGTACAGGGTGTTAATAATCTATTCTATTGTAGCATGCAAATTTAAATATCTTTAAATATCTCAAAAACCAAAGATTTTAAACATATTTAACCCTTATAATAAATACCTTTTTTTCGGCCGAAGAATCCAAAAATTAAATAAAATACCCAGTGTTCCATAAGAAAGAATATAACTTTGGTATGGATCTTAGTTCTGAAACACCCTGTACATTTCAAAATAATTTTAAATTGTGCACATTACCTTCCCACATATACCCATAAAATATTTTGTTTCTACATCTTTCCGTTTTCGTATAATCAACCGAGGTGAATGAGGTGCGCCACCTTGTATATAGCATATCGAAAATAAAATAAAACGCTAATTTGCGTTTTATTTTATTTTCGATACGCTAGTTTTTAATAATACTTAAAATATTTGGAGGGTTCAGAAGTCATCATCAGTATAATCTACAATTGCATTAAGATAATGAGGTTTATAAAACAATATTAAAAAAAATGAAAGTAAATTTGTATACTTTTTTCTCCGTCTCCGTCTTCCTTAATATTACAGAAAGACGCATCCGACAAAAATTGATACAAGTTAACAAATTTCAGTACCTGGCTTAGGAGTAGATGACGTTTTCTTGGTATTTTCATCAAAATCCTCATCGTACTCTTCTTCATATTCATCATATTCTTTTGCTATTTTTGCTTTTTTTGCTGCTAAAATATCTTTAATTTTGTCATGTTTCTCAGTATCTTTTACTACAACCATTGTTTCATCTTTCTTAGGTTCTTTATCCTCTGTTACATTTTCTTTTATATTTTCTGTAACTGTTTCAGTCGATTTGGCGTTTTCAGTAGGTTCACTCTTTTCTTCATCTTCATATTCTTCGCCATCTAAAAATAAAACTTTTTTTATTTAAGATATTATATTTTTTAAATTTTTTATAAACAAACCTTCATATTCTACGTCGTACTCTTCATATTCTTCTTTGCTAATGGTATCGTTATCTTCAATTGGTTGATCAGATTGATAGTTTATATTTTTATTTCGATTTAAACAGTAGTACGATCCTATGATATTAACGCATTTGTGCTGGCAAGAAGATCTAATGATTGGATTTGCACATTCGTCAATATCTAAAAATATATTTATTAAATTACTATCTTTGTAATCTGTTATAATACTGGTAAAACAAAATAAATTAAATTAGAGAGAGCTTAATTCTTTAAATAAATTTCATAATGTTGAACTTTTTAGTCAATCATAGGAAAATTGGAAACGGGAGTACTTAATGACTGAAGTTCCTTTTTATGTGTTTACCTTTGTACACTGGTAAGTGTTTATTGTTTGTAATACATATATTATTATTATAATGTTAACTTTTATATTATTTTATAATATTTAATATAGGGTCAAGTGGTGTAAAAATGAGACACGGCATTCAAATAAAACTACTGAAAACTTATATACAGTAATTTTTATAAATAACACTTTTTAAATTCTTAAGCAGCAGTATTTATAATATAGCAAATTCAAATAATTCGTTTACTGACAGATGGAAATAAATTGTCTGACCTTTTGACACCATAGATAAAAGAAAATAATCTTCTATTAAGATAGGTATGAAACTTAATAGTAAAATTTTGGGTCAAAACGCCCCTCCGTGTTCTTAGTAGAGACTACGTTTAACCCAGCGCCTTTGCCTTTTCTGCTGTAAATATTTTTTATGTTTATATTTGATTTCAAAGGATTTATTTTTTAAGTTACACTGATATATTAGTATATCAGAGTAACTTTAATAAAACAAGAATATATAAATTTTACAGTTTATTAAATATAAATTTTGACTACAAGGTAGAAAGTAAATCACAATATTTGATAAAACTTATAAGTATACCATTTTTGCAGTTAATAAATAATAAAACTATTTCTGACTATGATATTTAAAATTTAGATAGAATATTAAAAAACATACCGGTAATTGTAGACGCAGGCCCAAATTCAATAAAAACCAAAATTTTTCCTGCGAAAATCGGGCTTTTTTTCACAGAAAAGGTATTTTTTGATTTATCAACAATCATTGTCAAGTTGACAATATACAGGGTGTTTTCTAATTAGTCTGAAAATTGTGGTGTGGTTCCTCATGTGTTCTTAAAACAATTTTTATATAACCATTAGGTCTAAAGTACTTCCTTTCTGATCTACAGGGTGTAAAAAAAATTAAAAAAAATCGATATTTTGCTTAAAATAAATGGTACACTACTGCTTTTTTAAAGAAAATATATTTTTTTCTTGACTGGCCATCCTTTTTCAACAAAATTGATCTTTTGAGTTTTTCTTGTCAATCAAACGGTTGCCGAGAAAAAAATAAATATACTTATTAAGACCCCGCCTTAAGCCGTTTTCTAACGATGTTTTATTTTTCAGATTAATTAGGAAACACCCTGTATATGCATATCACAGGCAACCAAATAAACTAGTAACCTCTAAAAATTATTTTTCCTACCACTAGCGACGTACCGTGTTTTTAATGAGTACAAAATTATTTTATCAAAATTTCACCATATAAGTTTCCAACATGTTTCCAGGCAATGGTTTGACACTAACTTAATGTCAAAGGAAGCTAGATAAAATTAAGAAGAATATACGTTTTCAAATTAAATCTTAAATAACTTAAACACGGTTTATTTATAGGAACATGTGTAGTTAAAAAGTAAGGAATGAAAAAAACTTTTTATTAGTGAAATAAAAAATGGGTTTCTATTTGAAGAAAGTGATTTATGATAATTTTTTCATCGCTCAATTCCATGACAGCTACCGCCATTATTATTAGACATTTGAACAATTTCATTTTTGAAATAGATAGCCACAAGTCTTCTCTTTATGTCACAGTAAATTTGACTTTTAGGCTATAAAAATTTTTTTGACAGGTAGTTTTATTCGTCCAAAAATTTTAAATATTTTTTTTCTCTTAAAAATGGTTAATGTTAGAGTGTTTAACATCAATATTCATAGAATTTTACAGAGAATTCAAGTATGTAATAAAAAATGTGGGCACCCATTTAAAATAAGAAAGTTTCTGTCAACTTCCGGTATTTCTGGAAGTGCCACCATATTGAAAATATTTTTAATCGATAGATCTCGTTGTAAAACAATGATGTGCAAAAAATCCCCGTTCTAGATATTGTGGTTCTCTAGAAACTTCTAATGCACGCTCAGCTTGGGACACCCTGTAGAAAGGCATGTCTGTTTAAATTAAGTCCTGTTGGTATGAGAAGCTATTTTTTGCAGGCGTAAATTTGAGACACACACCGGGGTAATAATGAGACAAAGGTAGGGTAAATATGAGGCAACTTAGAAATGAATATAGTTTTCACAGCTGCTACTTTTTTATGAAACTTATGATAACACATATTTGATGCCGCTGTTAAAAATAGTCACAACTCAAAAACAAATAAAATGTAAAGAAACCAAACAAGTATACAGAAAAAGATCTTGCTGATAAAGCTGCGAAGTTAGTCAGCAATGGAGATGTAACCTTAATACACGCAGCCAAAGCTTTTCATATTGCTGTAAACTGTAGTAATTGAGATAAATAATGTTTTAAAGGAATACTGTACATTGTTTTAAAATTACCACCATCAAATTTGCAGGGCGGGACTTCTAGGACTGCCGAGATATTTGCTCTTTCAATAGATTTTGAGAAATATTTAGTTCGTTAATTCGTATTTTTTCTCCGCTCTTTAAATGACACTATTAATATTTTAATATATTGACACTTATTAACTACATATTTTTCTTCGTTTTTAGTTTAATATATTGTTTTACACTTTCAGTTTATAAATTTTTTGCGAAGGTGGAATTTTACTGTATTTTGATTTGAATTATATGTAGGTATTCATTATTATTTTAGATTTTTTTTTTAGTTCTACCACAGAGTTCTACTAATAAAAAAAGATTACTTTCTATGTCTAATTTTTATCTTTCTCTTTAATATAAACGATAGCAGGGCCTTTAAACGTGCGTTTTGTGACTGTATCATATTTAAACCAGCATTTCTCATTTTTAGACTTTTTGTGGGTTAAACATGAGATATAGTTTTCTGCATACTGTCTTTTTTGGAGGTACTTGTGGTATATGTTTACTTTTTCAATAGTTTCATTACCATCGAATTATAGAAGAAATACTTTTGTATTTAAATGTTTGTAACTAAGAAAAAAATAAAAGCTTTAAAAAATGTCTCATTTTCACACTACTTAACCCTAATAAGTAAAATGTGTTACCTTTGCAAGTCTTCCAGTCTTCTTGCAATTCCATGCCTTCCGGACAAGTACAAAAAACTTTTCCGTGGACATTAATACAGTGATGGGAACATCCAGCTGCTTCTTCAGTACATTCATTAATATGAGCACATGTATGTCCGTCAAAAGTAAGCTTAGTTCCATTAGACTTACAGCTACATCTGTAAGAGCCTAAAACAAGACACATGTATTTAACCCAATAACTTTTTAAGTTTTTCAACAAAAAAAATGCCCATTCAAACTTTTCATATGGATTGGTTCTATTTTACATCTCTGTAGAATTTGGTTATCGGTTAGAATATATATTAACTTTTTTTAAAGCATTGCATAAAATTCAACTGTCAATATGCCGAAATTGATATTTTACCGTCAATTCAATATCTTTAAACTTTTTTAATTTCCTGTAAACCTATTTCTAAGTAATTTAAATTTGAACAGTCCCCTTACTTACATTATTTGGAAAAAATCGAAATAAAAATGAAACTGTATATCTCCGAAACGAAGCATTTTAGGACATATATTTATACGACTTTTTTTATTTATTTTATCTGTAGAATATGCTGCTGAAATTTATCGAATACAATTCCGACCACCCTGTATAATAGAACCAATCTGTTTTGAAAGTTCGAACTTTGATTTTGTTGATTGAGTATCGAGTTTGTTATTGGACTATACCTTAGATTATGACTATACCTAGTTGGAAAAACATCTGTAATTAATATTAAATTTTCTTACCATGTGTATTGTGACAAATATCTTGACATGGTCCACGTCCATTTCTCACACGACATTCATTAATATCTCTACAAGATTTTCCGTCTTTGTCTAATCTAAAGCCAGGTTTGCAGGTACATTTTCTAGCTCCCGGAATGTTTATGCATATTTGCTCACATCCTCCGTTGTTTGTATCGCATACATTAGTGTCTAACAAATAAGAATTCAAAGTATATTAGCAATTGCTGTTAAAACCCTATTATAATTTGGAATTTATCATTAATTAATGCATAACAAAGTAAATGCAGAAATCTTGTTTGGAAACAAAAAAGAAAAAATATTTTTCAATATACTTCTGCTCACAGTCTTAAAGAACACTGATAAAAAAGATAGACTTGAACTAAAGTCGTCATGGTTCTTGAAAAAAAAATTAGTGGCAAGAGAATTTATTTTAGCGTAAAAGAAAATATTTTGCCTGAAGAAAAACTCTCTTAACTCAAGAAAACTGGTTCTCTTGAAAAATTCGAAAATTTCTCTTGAATCTATTTTCATTCAACCAAGTGCAAGTTACTTTGTTTTAAGATAATAAGAAAAATACGCTAGGAAATAATTTTGCATTCCAATCTCTTCAGTTGGCTTTTTTGACTAGCCGAAACTAAGCTTTTTAGGACATACATTTATACGAACTTTTTTACTTATTTTTATCTGCAGAATATGCTGTCGAAGTTTCCGGAATACAATTCGGACCACCCTGTATAAAAAAGATTAGGGTTTTTTCATTACATAACTACCGAATGATCGAAAAAAAACGGCGTCAGCCATGGCTATGAAATGAACATCGCTGTCATTTTATATGTAAAATTATATGGGGAATGTCATCGATCGTCATTTCCAAGCCAGCTGGACGCCGTTTTTTTACGATCATACGGTATAATATACACATCAGAATAAATAAGAATTATCAAAAGTCGTCAGCTATAAGCGATTCATTATTGCATTATTAGTAATTTGCCTCTTCTGAAAAAATATGATGAGTAGAGATACCCGGTGTTTTGCTTCTAAAACCCTCAATTGAGGAATTCGTAAAATGTTTCCTTTATATTTTGTAATACTGAAAAAATGCTCTTTTCTTTTATTATAATAATAATAGCTCCCGTATATAGCGTTTAACGCCTTGGGAGTAGCAAGGTACAGCTTGCCATGCTAGAGCCGTTCGGTATACAAGGAAGGTAATGTGGATAGCACTACGCTTCAACCGCCTATTATTACCTCAGGATTGTGACATCCAAAATACTCATTTAAGGCTGAGTCGACCTAGGTGCTCAAACTATTTTTATTTTAATAAAAATACTTGGCTGATGAAATGCCTGGTGTTGGATTCGAACCCACTACGGTGAGATTGGTAGACGAGAGCCTGTACCTCTACGCCAACTGGCTTCGGATTGTCTTTTATTAAATCAGGAAAAAGATGGTAAAATTCTCCAAACTTCTTTCTTTTTTTGTTCATCTTATGAGTCCAAACTTTCCTTTTCTTCTTCACCTGCTCTTTCTCTTCATCTGTTAGAAGAGCACAAAAAATACTAGCTCGGCGGAAAGAGATTTTCGTTGAACGAGAAGATTGTCGGAGAAAAACTTTTCAGACAACCCTCGTATGTCCATGTCATTTTTAATATTAATTAAACAAATAATTAAACAAACAACTTACATGTTTTCTTCTACTACTCAATAGATTTTAATGTAAACTATAAAATAATTAAAATATTATTGACCATATTGCGCTATTACGTGGGACTTAAACTATGAATTAAACCCAACTTATACCCATCCGTAATTTAATGTTCTTAAAACCTACGCTTAGAGAGGCAATAAATTGATATTCAACAAATATTTGAAAAGTGATATAACAGATGACTCTTTTTTATATATGTAGAGATGAAATAATAGTAAATTATTTTTACACATACTGGTTCTACATAACAATCAATAAAATATCGTATTAATCAGAATCAGTGTTTCAACATGCTCTATTCTTATCGGGTAGTAAGATAGCAGGGCTGAAATGTGGGCCAATTTTATATTAAGCTTCATTCAGAAACTCGAAATTAGTTGAACAAATTAGTGGTTTCAATAATACTTTATACTTAGGAGTTTACGATCATTCACAATATCTTAAAAAATACAATTAAAATAAATATATCTTAGGAACAGCTTGCTGTATTCAGTTCTATACATAAGAAAAGCCTAATAACTTATCAAGCAATAAACTTTTTTATTTTTAACCACAATTTCTCTTGAAAATCACAGAACAAAGTGACATTATTTGCAAATTTTGAAGTTTACAACCCTAAAGTTAAAAGTTTGTTAACTTTTTCCACTAAGTGAAAATTAGTTCCATTAATTTTGAATGTTCTGAATGCTTACATTCAAATTAAACGAACAAACTTCTACACTACTTGAAATCACTAATTTATTCTACTAATTACGAGGTTCTGAATGAAGCTTGATGCTTACAACAAAAAGTTAACTAGTTTCATTATAGTAAGGATAGAAAACTATAGTTCGGTTCTTGAAAAATATCATGAATATCATATAGTATATAGTTTTTATGCAACAAAACAAAAAAAAATTGAATGACAGATAATTGACAAAAGAACCATGAAAACCAGCAGTGCGATTCTGTAAACATATTTTCTGTCTAGTGACTCATCAATAGCCGCCCACACACCGAAAGACTTGGCCTCAAGGCCCGGCCTTGGGACCTTGGGACCGGGCCTTTTACCCAAAATACCAAAATAAGACTTTGCCTTTGGATTTTTTTATTTCGTATTTTGGATGAGGCCAAGTTTTTCCGTGTATAGGCAGCTAACAAGAAATTTTTTGCTACAGCGCTTACAGAATCCCACCTGATCCCACTGCAGACTTTTCGCTCTGGTTAATTTGGTGACAATACTGATGGATATTTTCAGGAACCGTGATCCGCAATAATAAAAGTTTAAGGTAAAACATAGAAACGGAACAAAAAACCATAACCAGTGACCATAAGTAAGGTAAGAAACGAAATACAGCCTAACATTACTCGCAAATTTTGAAGTATAATTAGTGGAAAAAATTTAAAAGTTGGTTAGTTTATACTACTAACTGAAAATTACTGCCACTATTTTGACGTTCTAAATGCTTACATTGAAATTAGAGGAACAAACTTCTACGTCAATTAAAGCTTCATTCAGAACCTCGCAATTAGTGGTTTCAAATAGCCTAGAAGTTTGTTCCTTTAGTTTTAATGTAATCATTCACAACGTCGAAATTAGTGGTAGACATTTTCAATTAGTAGAAAAAGTTATCAAAGTTTTGACTTTTCCACTAATTATACTTCAAAATTTGCGAGAAATGTCATTTTGGTCTTTGATTATCTTCCGCCAAGAGATATTGTGATTAGAAATCAAAAGTTGATTGTTTTATAAGCTAAATATTAGGCTTTCTCCATGGATACAACTGACTAACGCAAGCTGTTGCTAGGATATTCTATTAATTTTAATTGTGTTTTGTAAACATTGTAAATGATCGTAAATCGTAAACTAAATAGTATTAAATGTAATTGAAATCACTAATTTATTCCACTAATTGCGAGGTTCTGAACGAAGCTTTATTCCGACTGATTTCGAAGTTTCATTAGCATTTCTGCACATCGCAGGGATGACAAGATGATAGTAAGATGATTTGCAAACAAAAAGAGAAGACGTTTCTCCATGTATGCTATGCGAGTGGTCGGCTCTGTCATTGAGAAAGTCCATTCTGGGTGAAGTCCAACCCACTAAGTCAGATTTGCGGAAGACATCCCTGAGTCAAATTATCTAAATGTGACTCATTTATTTTCTAAATTATGTTTGGCTGGTGGCTTAGAGTTAGTGGTTGTGTCTCGAGGGAATGATTCAAGTGGAGTCTTTTTGTTTGAAAACTTTCTCCAAACTTCTTCTACCGATCAACGGTATATTTTGAAAGAATAATTTATTAAATTTGTCAAAAAATACAGGGGTTCTTAATTGGCATTTTACTAATGACTTGTAAAAATGTCTTCATATTATATATTTATATTATAAAGTTATAAAACTTTAAAACTTTACTTTATACTTAGATACCTATTTTTATTTCAGTTATTATAACTTGAATTACGGATAAAGAGGGCGAGTCTTAAATACATGCAAGTATTTTCAGGGCTGATCGATCTCGATACAAGAAACCGTACTCTTCCCTTTACCGTTTTTCCAATAAGTCCAAAATAACCGAGTTATTTTATTTTGAAAATTAAAAAAAAGTTTTTTGTTTAAATTTTTAAAATACACTTTTCTGTATTTTGTTTTTTGTAAATTTAATCTACACCCTAACGTTGCCATATTACGTAGATATTATGTTATTTTGTTTACTAAAAAAAAAAATAACCAACCCGGGTCGAAATATTCTACCCTTAAACGTATTTGCACTTTAAGACTCACTTTGTATAACTTAGTGTCTTGAAAAAAGTCTGTGAATTTCGTTACCCAAAAAAAAATCTAAAAAATAAAAATGATATTTTTTTTGTAAACAGTGTTGTTGTATCCAAACGAAAACTACTTGTCACTTGTCTAAGAAACTATTAGCTAATTTGAAAATCTAAAAATATTATCAGATAGCCCTGATAAAGTCGCTCTAAGAATGTGCAATTTGTTTTTCCATTTTCTAAAAAATAACGACAGGAAAAAATAAAATTTATTTTCCAAAAAATCCGTTTTTGCAAATAACTAATCCTTGAAATTTTTAAAACTTTTTTGGTGGAATCTTCATGAACATCCTAACAGCGCTTTCAGATGGAGCGGAGCGTCCGCAACTTCGAGCAAGTACCATGAGTTTATATCAAAGACATTATAAAGATAGACCGAACATCTCATTCATAAATACTCGTTGGTAGTGTATCAAACATTCCAATGTGTCAAACAAGGACAGAAGAGACAGAGAAGTCTAAAATTTCCGACCCCGGCAACTAGGCGCATTTGGATTGTTCTACTGGCCAGTGGCGTATCGTTTTTTGGAACGAATTTAATTAGTAAAGTAAAAGTAAAGTAATTAGTAAAATTTTTACTCCATATTAATATACTACATTAACACTTTTTCGTCAGATGAGTTTTGTTATAAGGTCTAATATAATAATACAATTAATATCCCACATATACTTATGTTGAAACGTTAGTAGTTTTCGAAAATCGCTCCAACGTGGATTTTCAATTTAAACTTTCAGTTACTTCTATATAAACTTTCAGTTACTTTTGAATATTTACAGGGGTGACTCAGGCTTCAGAAACAGTTCTATATTAGGGTTTGTTTGTTGTATTCTTTTCTTTCATTTTTTTTTCAGAATATGGAGGCATTTAGGCACATTTTAGACATTTGACAAAGTTGTAGATTTGCCATTAAATTTCCATTCCAAAAATACCTAGGGTTGCCACTTGTCCTTTTTTGAAAAGGACAGTCCTTTTTTAGAATAACTTGTTCTTTTGACTTTTTTTGACTTAAAAAGTCATTTTTTGTTTACATATTTTCCCTGAGAGAAAATTACCTACAGCAAACAGAAATATTCTTTCGTCCAAATTTTATTAGGAATGTTATAAAACTTAACTTATAAATAAATTTTTTCTTGTTTAGAATAGACAACATTATTTAGAACTTCCCGTTTAATCTCAAATGATAGTTTAGGTTTTAGTTTTACCTTTTTTTATCCAAAAGAACCTTTCAAAATTAGTACCTAATTAGTAACGATTTGGATTAGTTCGCAATCGATAGCTTCCTGTGAAGTACTGTGTAATAGTTGTTTAATCTTGTATTATTAATAACTTCCTATACCTAAAATCAATATTTAATGAGAGAAATTGTGTTTTTTTGAGAAAATATAAGACAAGATTTGACTTTCGGTCTACTTCTTGTATTATGATGAAGCTGATATAGGAGCAATTGCCTTTGAGATCTCTCTCGCCAATAGAAGGCATTTATCATTAAAAGTATAAAATAAAACTGGTGTGCTACAGTATCAGATTTCTGTCGCATAATAATGAATACCTATTACGTTTATTTACAAATCCATTACTTTTAAAGGTAGCTTCATAATCAAATTTTAGTTAAATGTCCTAATCTTCATGAACTGTATTAAGCATATGTATTGCGGTTTGAATCACCCTGTATGTTGACAAGAATATTTTGAAAATGTGCGTTACAATAGCCCCCATCTTATGTAAAAAAATTGAAATAAAATCACAAACCAAAAACGTAATAGGTAAAAAGCTTTTTTGGAGGCCTGGGTCATTCTCTCTATAGGTATGCATAAAACTAGTAGCCTAAAAATTATTTACAGTTCGTCCCATTCTAAAAAAGTTAAACACACCGTACAAATAACTCTAGGAAGATGTATTTGTACGGTGGTAAAATTGTCTAAACAAGGCCGAAGGGGCAGATATAATAAAGCAATAAAATGTAAAAAGGTCGGGTAAACACCTTTGTTTTATTTGTTGAGCAAAATTCCTTTAGAATATCGTATATAATGACCAAAATAGGACGCAATTTTAAGAAAAAAATGTCACTTTCTGGCTTATAATAAAAGTTTCAAACGTTTATATTCAAAATTTGTTATGATCTACAACACTTAGGTAGTAATTGAGACGAATTATAATTTAATTACCGGCTACTACGTTCTTGTTTTAATAGATCAAATTTCATCAAATATAATTGGAAATTATTTTTAATTGTGAGAGGCTCCCTTATTGGAACGCCTATGTACGGCGATTACGGCGCGGCAGAACAACACCTACCTGTGAAAAGACAAATTCGGGTAATTTGAGCTTATTTGTCCACACATTTGACACTGTCGTACCATATTGAAAATTCGCAGATTCAAAAGTACATTAAACAAAAACAAAACTATTGAAAAACTAAAAAGTTAACTTCGGACTTGATTCCACTTCAAACACACCGTAAGCTAAACCAAAGGCTAAACGTAGTACGCTATAACGGACCATGGGCCGTCGCGAGGAGTGGTGGGACGGACCAACTCATTTCATTCTGGAAGACTAGCAGCGACGTTGCCAATAGTTCTAGACGTTTCAGCACATTAAAACAGTAAACATGTCCTTTAATTACAGTTGAGGGTTTGGAACCTTTGGTGTTACACAGCAAAAGGAAATATAAACACTAAATCACCACAATACACCAAAACACTTTTACTTTTACACACTGGACGCGTTTCGCTAACCATGTTAGCATCATCAGCAGATGATTATAAACTAAAGTACAATCTACAAGTTGAGCGTTTGTATACACGCTCAGTGGGCAAGCAAGTGGGCGTGGCAAAATCTAGCCAACCGAGTCAGGGCGAGGCAGCTGAGCGTAACAGTTAGATTTCCGCCACTAGAGTAGTAGGAACAAAGAACTTTGAGAAGGAACTGGACCGTTGACTCTGTTCATATACTATCTTTACATTTATTAATTCTGATGCTTTCATATGCATCTAATCTCATCAGTTGGTGTATTGTTGGTGATTTAGTGTTTATATTTTGCTGTCCTTTAATAGTAACTGGCATATCCTCTGGTTAATAACATATTATTACGCATGCTTCTTTAAAAACTATTAGCTAATTTGAAAATCTAAAAATTTATCAGATAGCCCTGATAAAGGCTCTAAGAATGTCAATTTTTTTCCATTTTCTAAAAAATAACGACAGGAAGGCGCAAATTTATTTTCCAAATGTCGTTTTTGCAAATAACTAATCCTTGAAATTTTTAAAACTTTTTTGGTGGAATCTTCATGAACATCCTAACAGCGCTTTCAGATGGAGCGGAGCGTCCGCAACTTCGAGCAAGTACCATAAGTTTATATGAACAATTTCACATGGGCGCGTATGCTCCGTCCGACGGAGTTCGTCCGACGGCTATCTTGAAAAAACACGACGGACGGTCCGTAGCGGACGGTCCGTCGCATGTGAAAGCGCTGTAAGGCGCAACTTTGCCACCATCCTCGTATCTATTACGGTTTCCGAGATACCAATGCTCGTACCTCGACTTTGTAGCACCCTGCATATACCTCCAGAAACGTTTTTTCTTTGTGGGTTAGGCAAGTTTGTTTAACGAGTAAAAATCCACTGAGAAGCTAGTTTCCGTTTGGATTCTACACTGTTTACAAAAAATAACTTTTATTTTTTATATTTTAATTTTAGTTGCGAAATACCCAAGTCTTTTTCTAGAAACAAACACGTCACAAAGATATAGACTATATATATTATTTATCTCTTTGTATATTAGGTCAACCATATTTGATATAGGCGTTAAAGTTGATGCCAATATTACTTTTATTAATTATAGATACTTACTATCTTTATGTTTCATATGTTTCTTATGTCTAATTTTATTATGATCTTTGTGTCCCACTGTTTCTTGTATACCTGAAAAAAAGGAAATAAATCAATAGATATTTCACCTGAAATACTAAAAAACGTAGGTATAAGTATAAGGAACAATATTATAAATCGTTAAGTTCTGACGATACGATATATTATATTCTATTTCTCTAATACCCATAAAGCATGAAATGAAAAACGTTGTGTATTTGCCGCCTAAATGCAAGAGTTATTGATTGTCTATTGTAATATTTCTATTTTTATTCTAAAATTATGACCACCAAAATAGGCGTTTATGCCTATCTACAAAATTCTAAATTATTGGTAGTCGTAAGTTGAATCACAGCGAGAACTACAATTTTATTATATTTATAAGGATTTTCCAGCCTACATAAAATATCCATTGGAAATTAAGAATGGAAGATCATAGAAGATGTAACTGAATAAAAACTAAAATATTCAAAAACTTATTCATTTACTAAAAATAAGGTGAGAATTTCGAATGGAATCGAAATTTCTTTTTATCGATGAGGTGTTTCCTTTAAATAAAAAAAAACTTAGAGTCCATTTCACTAGTCCGAAAAAGTAGCAAAATCATACGTTAAAAGCATTCGGCATTTAACGTTTTATGTAAAACTGGCTACGTATTTTTACACAAATGAGAAGGAAATTAAAGATAAAGGATTATATTATATCCGTATTGTAACACATTTTTAGACAACTTCTTTATGTTTAAGATTTTGATGGTTTCAACCATTAAGAAAATATTCCTTACGTTTGGACTAAATTTTCTCGAAAATAAAGACATAATTTAAAAATCCGTTACAATACAGAAATAAATTGAAGTTTTTTTATTACAGTGATATATAATTTATATGGTTTTGTAACAAATTGTTCGCTATTTTATGAGAAATTCTGAAGCTCTGCAAACCTTAATCAAGCCTCAATCAAAGCACGTGTGTTTGAAATTTTGGGTGTGTGATACGTGTTAAGACGACAGAATCGGGCTAAGCCTTGGGCAGATTTCTGAAATATAGTATATATTTCCTTCGGCCAGACACCCGCTTTACCCGACCCCTCAGAGCGACTCGAACAGTACAGACTCTTCTTAAGAAAGTGGTCTAATACTATTTTTATATTACATGCATCACAGACTTCAGACTTCAGAATACTCTAATTTTGATAGTTCTGTTTGATGTTTCAATTGACACATTTGAAATGTATTTAAATTTTTGCGGATTTGTTGGGTGGTTCTGAGTTTATTTTATGTTATTTCTTGCTTATTTTCTAATAAGTTTCATGCAAAGTGCACAAATTTTGAAAGACACTGTGTCAAGACTTAAAAGATGCTTTAAAAATAGTTACTTGTGCAATGTGCTATTAATTTGATTTAGTTGTGTCAGTAGCTTATCTGTATTTTTTATTAAATAATTATATTAACTTTTACTTTGTTTTTATTTACCTTTTTTTTGCAATTTTAATAATAAAGTAGTAACATTTAATGTGTGAGTCTATTACAGTTGAGGGTTGGAACCTTTGGTGTTACACAGCAAAATAAAAACACTAAATCACCACAATACACCAAAACACTTTTACTTTTACACTGGACGCGCGTTTCGCTAACCATGTTAGCATCATCAGCAGATGATTATAAACTAGTTTATAATCGAGTTTATAATTATCTGCTGATGATGCTAACATGGTTAGCGAAACGCGCGTCCAGTGTAAAAGTAAAAGTGTTTTGGTGTATTGTGAGTCTATCCTAATTTCCTAATTTATATTTTAACACGTTTTAAATAAAATTAGAACACCACTGATAAACCGTAATTTAAGTCGGCCATATTTCCTAATAGCACAGAATATACCAGATGTTTATAAATAAATAAATAAATAAATGCCTTTATTGTCAAAAACTTTTTGTAGACAAAGGTAAACTAAACAAACAAAGTAAACAAAGAAGGTACACAAACAAACAAACAAAAGATAATACAAAACATTATACAAATAATATTGTCAGTCTTATTGTTTAAAATGAAGACAACGTGGTATCCACCCTCACAAGTTGACTTCTGTTGCTCAGATACGACTTAAACCATTCGAGAGATGTTCCCCTGAACCCATAGTGCTGCAGTTTATTAATTAGGATCTTATGATTTACACAGTCGAACGCCTTAGAAAAATCACAGAAAATTGTTCGTGTAGAATGATGGTTATTTAGGCTGAAGTAAACTTTATTAAGGAGGGAAAACATAGCGTCATTTGTGGACTTGTTGCTTAGAAATCCAAGTTGATTTTCAGTAAGTATTTTGTACTTAAACAGAAAAGATACCAGCCTTCTTTTAACCAACCTTTCTATGATCTTAGATAGCGTTGGAACGAGTGCAATTGGGCAAGTTAGCTTCATCTTTGTCTCCTCCTTTATGCAGAGGAATGATTATTGCCGTCTTAAGACATTTTGGAAAAATACCATTTTGGAATGACATGTTTATTAAAGTTCGGTGATTCAGAGTGATCCGATGATGATTTATTTTTGATGGTATTAATTGTAAATGGAATTTCTTTTTCTCAGAAGTGGCTCATCCCTATAACTTTTTTTGCTTTTTAAGATGAAAAAAACGAGATTTGGTATATTAGTATATGACATAAATTAGGCTTGATTGACGTATTTTTACAATTAGGTTTGATTGACCGTCCAATTGTTTTCGGTCACTTCCTGTTTCACTGGAAATGTCTACAACTTTTGATTTTTAAATGACACCACTGGTATTTTTTTACTTCTTTTGATAGAAAATGACATTCTGAATAGAATAACATAACATTTGTTAACTTTTGACATTTTCAATTAAAAGCATTTTAAATTTCAATTTAGAGTACCCCGGCTATAAATATAACCACAATTTGATTTGAAATACCAAGTGTATAGTACCAAATTATTCGTAAAAAAATATTTTTACAAATATGCTAATGAGCCACCCTCGTTCCATTTGAAAAAATTGAGATATGATTAAAAATACGATTTGAGCATCTTTTAACCGACCAGGACACCAAAAACATTAGACGATCAAATCTGTTTTACCAAGGCTCCTTGATTAAAAATTAGTATTTTTAACACAGTCATGGTAAAATGAGATTTTTTTAAGTGAAAATGTCAAAAGTGGATATATTATACGTCATTCTATTCAGAGTGTCATTTTCTATCGAATAAATTAAAAAATACCAAGAGTGCCATTTCAAAAATCAAAAGTTGTAGTCATTTCTGGTGAAATAGGAAGTGGCCGAAAACAATTGAATACGTCAATCAAACATGCCAAATCTCGTTTATTTATCTGGAACAATAAAAAAGTTATGGGAGTGAATTCATTTTGAAAAACACTCGGTATAGTGTAGCTATATATTTTATGCTAATAGGAGTTTTGTAATATGCCTCTTCCTTAGTTTTATCCCCTTAGTTTTATTCAAAGGGTGTTTCCCTATAAAATTACTCTATAAGTCTGTCATGATCTAAATTTATAGGAAAGATTGTGTCTCTGATCTAAATTAACAGGAAAATAGTATTTTCTGTATTTTTTTGGTTGTCAAAATCTTTCCAGGCTGGTTTGTTAGACTTTATGTCGAACGAATTAAATAATGATTATTTTATGTTTTCTATTAATTTAAAAACCATTTATCTTAGCCCAAAACACGAATATCTAATAATGTACTATTGCAAAAATAATCTAACTACTATACATATGTACATTTCTGTGCACATCTATAAATAAATTAAGATGTAGGATTGCATTTGGTTTTGAAATTAACAATAATACGGTACCCACATGTGTTATAAGAAGGAAGTGTAGGTCAGCGAGCCAATCTATAAATTAAATCATAATTATTGTAAGAAAACAACGCGAATAGATAGATGTGTATGTTCATATAGCTAATTTTAATAAAATTTGGAAAGTCTATTATTATAACAGATGTAATTTAAATTTTCTACTTAAATATATTGATCTAGACCGATGGTTTGCTCTTCATTTCTAAGAAAAAAAAATTGGACGTTATTAAGAAATAAGAATGAAAGTTATAGCTTTCATTCATTATGTTTATATATTTTTAGATTTTGTTTGTTAAAATTAATTTACAGGAATATTAAAAAATTCACTAGTTAATTAGTTTATAAGTATGACTGATTTTTTTATAAGGCTAAGATTTTTATAAAAAAATCAAAACGCATTTCTATGGTAAAATAAATTAGTTTCCATTATTACTAAATACAGTATGATCGAAAAAAACGGAGTCAAAGCCGGCTGGTGAATGACAATTTACTACTACTAATACTAGACGCCATTTACTAATTAATACACTAAAAATTGACTTAAAACTTGTTGCGCACTAAGCGTCATTTAATAAAGAACACAGTACATGCCAAGTAAACGACGCTTAGGGCTTCACCTCGTCAAAATTTATATCGATTGTCATTCCCCAGCCGTCTTTGACGCCGTTTTTTTTTCTCGATCGTATGGTATTAGTATTGGTGAGATGTTTGTTGTAACGATCAACAACTCCATAAGACTGTTTTGTAATAAACAGAAATTATGAATAAAAGCAATCTCAAATATAAATAATAATTTAAATCATATACCGGGTGTGTCTCAAAAGTTATAGTCTCACCCCTAAAACTTTTTTATTTTTTTCAGATAAAAAAACGAGATTTGGTATGTTAGTGTATGACATAAATTAGGATTGATTGACGTTTTCGGTCACTTCCTGTAAATTATTAAAACTTTTGATTTTTAAATGGCACTTTCCGTATTATTTTACTTTATTCGATAGAAAATGACTTTCTGAATCGAATGAGATATATCATATGTCAACTTTTGACATATTCACTCAAAAACAAAATGTATTTTAAATTTCAATCTAGAGTGCCATGGCTGTGTTAAAAACAATAATTTTTAATCAAGGAGCCTTGGAAAAATATTTAGATAGTAGTATATTATCTGTAGGGTGCAGCAGCTGTAGTAGCTATTGCTAAATCAAATGATATTGTAGCCTCATCTTTT